AGGCTTCAAGTCCATGTTCTCCAAAGGAGTCCTCAAGTTCTCCAGGCCAGAGGCTAAGGCTGGGTCTGACAAACTCAAGGGACCGAGACAGGAGGCGGAAAGCCAGGGGCTAAGACACGATCGCCAGGCAAGGCAGGGCAGCGTTGAACGTTACCGGGTGAACTGATCACAGGCTGATTTTAAAAGAGAAGCCCCCCCTCCACGCTTCATGCTTCATCCTCCCCTTGTGCCCCCCTGTGTAGACGGAGACACCCATTTGGGGCTGCAGTGGAGACGGTGAGCCCGGAGGTCAGCGGGGGTCTCAGAAGGCACCACACGAAGGGTCTGGCTCAGTCACTGACCCCTGTCTGGGAGATGACCTCGGAGCAGAGTCACCAGGCACATGTCTGTCTGGAAAGCGATGCTATGACACCCCACATCTAAAGCTTGGCAGCTGGGCACCAGAGGTTAGGTCATTCAAATGTCTTATTTCTTGGATAAAGAAAGGCAGCCCAGGGCACTCAATTAAGTGACTTGGCCAAGGTCATACAGTCAGAAAGAGCCAATGCTAAGTAAGGTTCAAACTTGGGTTCTACAGCACCTGAGATAGGACCAATGCCTACCAGGGGCCTGCCCTGCCCCCTCCCTCCCCTCCCCTCGGAGGTTTGCTTTGCTCTGGGAAGGAAGTTGTCCCCAAGACTTGACTGGCCCAAGGGTATGACGGCTCAAGCTACGAGAGGGAGAGGAGAGCCCTGAAGGACAGACGTAGGGAAGGGATGGACGCGGGAGCATGCTCTGCACCAGGTGGGCCATGGGGGAGGAAGGAAGGGGGTGGATGCCAGGGTTACTGACCAGGCAGAAATGGTGAGAGCTGGCCCTTTGGTACACACGAATGGGAGGTCCAGGGACAGAAGGGAGTGTAATCCTGGGGGACTGGAGGACAACGGGGTCCTCTAGAGACACTGGGAAGTTTCTCTAGGGCTGTATCCCAAAGAGATCATACAAATGGGAAAAGGACCCACATGTACAAAAATACTTATAGCAGCTCTTTCTGTGGTGGCAAAGAATTGGAAATGGAGGGGATGCCCATCAGTTGGGGAATGGCTGAGCAAGTTGTGGTCTATGAATGTGATGGAATACTATTGTGCGATAAGAAATGATGAACAGGCAGACTTCAGAAAAACCTGGTAAGATTTGTATGGACTGATGCTGAGTGAAGTGAGCAGAACCAGGAGAACATTGTACACAGTAACAGCCATGCTGTGTGATGACTGACTTTGATAGACTTAGCCCTTCTCAGCCGTGCAAGGATCTAGGACATCTCCAAAGGCCTCGTGATGGAAAACGCCATCCACATCCAGAGAAAGAACCATGGAGTCTGAATGCAGATGGAAACAGACTTTTTGCTACTTTTTTTTCTTCTGTTTTGTTTCCTCTTCCTTGTGGTTCCTTCTATTGGTTCTAATTCTCACTTACAACATGACTAATGTGAAAATGTGTTTAATAGGAATGTATATGTAGAGCCTATATCAGATCGCTAGCCATCTTGGGGAAGGAGGGGGAGAAAAATTTAAAAAGAAATTTAAACTCAAAGGAACTGGGAAGTTTCTCTAGGAAGGAGGGGTTAGGGCCATGGGGGAGGGGGGAGATCATGAGAGAGTCTCTTCTGGGGCACGTTGAATTTCCGGCACCTATGGGCCATCCAGGAGAAGCAGTCCAGCAGGCTGTCGGAGGGGGGGCCTGGAGCTCAGGAGAGAGAATCAAAACTGGATACACAGCTCGGGGAGTCGTCTGCATAGAGATGGAGCTGGTGGCCTAGTGGGGAGACAAGGGCGCAGTACACATTCACGGCAAGAGAGCCATGAGAGCTCACCGCCACTAGTAAATGATGGGCACCAAAGGAGAGACGAACGAGGGGGACAGAAGAGCACGATCACCGCGGCCTGGGGTGGTCGGGGAAGGAGGCGAGATCTGACCTGAACCCCAAAGCCTTCTGATGGGGGCGGAGGGCGGCAGGGGTGGGAAAGTGGGAGGAAGAGACATGGCTGCTGCTGGAAAGGGCTGAGGAAAACCCCATGCCAGCTCCTGGTGAGTGTGTGTGTGTGTGTGTGTGTGTGTGTAAGGGGGAAAGAGAGGGAGGGATGGAAGAGAAAGAGAGAAAGAAGGGGAGGGGGAGGAGAGAGAGGGGAGAGAGAGAGAGAGAGAGAAGGGGAGAGAAGGGGGGAGAGAGAGAGAGGGGAAAGAGAGAGAGAGAGAAGGGGAGAGAGGGGGGAGAGAGAGGGGAAAGAGAGAGAGAGAGAGGGAGAGAGGGGGGAGAGAGAGAGAGAGAGAGAGAGAGACAGAGAGAGACAGAGAGAGGAAAAAGGAGAGACAGAGACAAGGAAGAGACACAGGAGGACAGACAGGCAGATTGTTAAATGGACAGTTAGACAGATAAGTAGATGTTGTTCACCCTTCGTTTTTCAGAGGACGGACATGAGTCAGATTTCAGTGACCTGCACAAAGTTGTCAGCCTCACTCTTCCACAGTCATCAAAGTGCAATGGCGGGACAGAAGTCAAGACGACTGGTGCTGACGGCGGATGACCTCGGTATCTTTAATGTTTGACCGACCGCTCCACGGCGCCTGCTTCAGCCCCCTTCGCGGCCGACGGAACAGCTGAGAACAAGTTGTTCTCGTCTGCCCATTCCATCAGGGGAAGTCTTTGCGTGCTTGGGGTAGAGACCCCCCCAACTCACTGACAGGTCTGAGAGCCCTCGGTTACCCTCAACCTGGTTCACCATCTGCCAAGACAGCTTGACCAGCGCGTGGCCACTGCCCACGCTACAGCTTCTTAGGTCACAGGAGAGAGTCGGGACAGGTGGACCCCAAGGAGGACGAGCAGCCCCGAGAAGCCCTCCCACCAGAGGTGCTGGTCCTCCCTGAACACTCCAGAATATAAATAGATAAGAAGATAGCTGGGTAGGCAGATGGAGAGATAGGTAGATAGACTGATAGACTATAGATGACAGGTAGATAGGTAGATAGACTGATAGACGATAAATAGATAAGATAGATAAATGACTGATAGACAGACACAGACAATAGATGATAGGTAGATAACATATATACTTACCTACAATATTTATGAAGCACTTGCTATGTGCCAGATGCTATGACGAGGTCCGGCAATACAAAAATGAGCAAACAAGATGGTCCCTTATCAGGAAAGTTACCTTTTAATAGACTAGGGGAAATAAAAGGGCAGCCTTGGAAATAGACAGGTAAGGGGGTTGGGGGTGTCTATTAGCGAGGAGGTCAAGCAGTCCAGGGAGGTCCCAGCCTGGGCCGCGGCAGTCAGGAGAAGAGCAGAGGACAGCCCCCCCTGGGCTTCCCATCTTCTCTTTTCAAAGCTACGTGCCCCCGTTCCTGCACCCCCTCCCTCTGCTTTGGATGTCCTTCCTGAAACACGGTGCCCGTGAAACTGAATACAACACTCCAGATGTGATCTCATCGTGGGGACTGTGGCCGACACGTGGCGACAGGTTGGGGTTGGGGTAGGACTCTCGAGGAGCTCCAATGCCAGGGAGTTTGGCCTTTATCATGGGAGCGATGGGCGGGGTGGGGGCCGAAGGACTTGTCGAGGCACACGTGCAGGAAGTGTGAGCCCCCAGGACTGACAAGGGTCCTCTGACTCCAGACCTAGGGGTCTTTCCACGTAGAAATGAGTTGGTAAAGTGAGCAGGGGACTCTTTGGGAGCCTGGCAGTGAAAGGGGGGACAGGCCGGCCAATGGGGGAGACCTGGGTAGGTGAGAGCGGTGCATGAGGAGGTGGACCGGAGAGCTAGATGAACGGCCGGGGAATGAGCTGTTTCCAGTTCACCCCAATGTTATCGGCCTCCATTAGAATGGAAGCTCCTTGAGGGCAGGGCTGGCTTTGCTTTGTAATAAATGCCTGAGATGGGCAGTGGGCACAGCTAGCTCTGTAAAGGGGGGACTCCTCCACTGGGGGAACCTTGACTGGGGGCAGCGGAAGGCTCAGCAAAGTGATAGAGTCTTAGGGGCAGCTAGGTGGCACAGTGATAGCACACTGGCACTGGAGTCAGGAGTTCAAATCCTGCCTCAGACACAAAACACTCACTAGCTGTGTGACCCTGGGCAAGTCACTTAACCCCAATGCCTAGCCACAACAACAACAACAACAAAGTAATGGTGTCTGGGGTTGTGAGGCTCAGTTCCAGTTCTGCCTAACCCTGGGCCTCAGTGTCCCCATCTCTTAAGTGGCCAGGCCCTAGGACCTCTGATCTATCTCTGACTCAGTTTCTCCATTTGTAAAAGGAGGGGGCTAAATTCGGCCTCAGACCAAACACTTGACGCTTACTGTGTGACCCTAGGCAAGTCACTTGACCCCAACTGCCAAAAAAAAAAAAAAAAAAAAGACTTGAACCCAGGTCTTTGTGACATTGAAGCTGGCTCTCTGTCCACTGCCTCTCAATACACGCTTAACGGAAATTTAACGTGGTGACACACATACGAACTTGTTGTAGATGTACACGCAAAAAATGTGTAAAAAGGGGGAGGCTAGACCACGTTCTCTGAACTATTCCTGCCCCTCCCTGAACCTCAGTTTCCCCTTCTGTATGAGCACCCTGCGCTCCCACGCGAGGCGCCCCACCCCCACCCAGAGGCCAGAGCCCGGACAAGAGCAGCGCCTCCCACCGGGCGCCCTGAGCACGCAATCACGCCCCAACGCCCTTTCCTGGCGTCACGCCCAAGCGCATGCGCGCTCCGTCTCACCAGTTCCCTTTCCCCCGCCCAGGTCCGTGAACCAATCGGAGAACTCCGAGGGCCATCCTGCCTTTCATCGCTCCACCCCCCCCCCCCCCCCCGCGGCCGAGGGAGCGTCCCCGCCCCCGGCCAATCGCCAATCAGAGAGCCCGGAGGCCCCTTTCTTTCCGTCCTTCCTTCCGCCCTCGCGCCCGCGGCGACCAATGGCCGAGCCGGAACGAACGTTTCCCCGCCTTCAGGGGCGGGACCGGCGGAAGCTGCGCCAAGATGGCGGCGAGCGGTGTGGGCCGGGCGGCCTCAATGGCGTCGGGGGTCGTGGGCACGGCGGTGAAGCCCGTCTTCAGCCGGGACCTGAACGAGGCCAAGAGGCGGGTGCGGGAGCTGTACCGGGCCTGGTACCGCGAGGTGCCCACCACCGGTGAGGGGCCGGCGGGCGGGGGGCGGAGCGGGGCGGGGCGGGCGCTCACGGTCAAGGTCGCGATCGCCGCCGCTCTTAAAGGGACAGGCCCGTGAGTGTGTCTCGAGTGGGCCGGCGGGGACGCCCCTTTCATGGAGGGGAAACTGAGGCGCGACTTCGCCGGAGACAGTGCCCAGCGAGTCACTGGGAAGGGAAGCACTGGTCCGAGGTTACGCAGGCAGTTGGAGCACGCGTGAAATTCGAACCCAGGGCCCCCAGCTGCTTCCACCACACCCTTGAGCCTGGCGTTCAAGGCCTCTGCCCCCCCACTAACGAGGTCACAGATTTGCAGTCATGAGGGTGTCATGCGGGCGCTGTTTTGCAGAGTAGCAAACTGAGTCACAGGGAAGGGACGAGGCAGGTCCCAGGTGCCCGGGACTCCTTTCAGCGTGTGCTGGAGGTGGGCTGCCGTACAGGGGACGTGGAGGGTCCGGGTGGGATGAGGGGCGCTGGGCGGGGGTCTAGGGGGCCGCGGGTCCCATTCCCCCAGCTCCAGTGGCGTCTAATTGATGCAGGTCAGCCCGGGTCCCCCAAACCGAGGGTCAGCAGCTGCTCCACGCAGCATCTCGGGGCCTCCCGGGGTCCCAGCCTGTGCCCAGGGCAGGGGGAAGGGAGGCTGGACACGGAGGTGCCCGCTGGGTCCCTGCCGGCCTCTCCCAGTGTCCAGTGGGGCCTTGCTATCACGGGTGAGCATGACTACGTGCTTGTGCGTGCAGGCACCCCCAGCCGCTGTGGTCAGCACCCCCCATGTGAGGGGGCCCCTCCTCAGACACCCCCGTCCAGCCCATCGGGCTCGTGCTCTGGAACACTCAGCAGAGGCGTGAGGCCTTTTGTGGACTGGCATGGCCGCCCTGACCGCTGACCTCCTTTCTCCCCAGTGCACCTTTTTCAGCTGGACATCTCCGTGAAGCAGGGCCGGGACAAAGTCCGAGAAATGTTCATGAAGAACGCGCACGTCACGGATCCTCGGGTGGTGGATCTCTTGGTCATTAAGGTAACTGGGCCCGCCTGGGTCCCCTCGTCCCATGCTGGCCCCTGGGAGGCTGTTGGGATGACCTTGTGTGCGGCAGAGGGTGGACAGACAGCCGGTAGGACAGAGCCCAGGCAGGCGGGTTTGTCTGGCCGGATCGCCAGCACTCGGCAGCGTGCTCAGAACATGAAGGCATTTTTCAGGTTATCAGTCAATCGGCAAGCATCTATTAATCACCACATATGCCAGGCACTTTATAAATATTATGTCGTATCCTCACCACAACCCTGGGAGATAAGTGTTGTTATTGTTCCCATTTCACAGATGAGGAAACTGAGGCAGATAGCAGTCGTGTGACTTGCCTAGGGTCACACAGCTAGCAAAGGTCTGATGGTCACATCTGAACTCAAGTCTTACTGACTCTAGGACTGGTGCCCAGACATGTAACAGAGTATACAGAAAAAAAAATCAAGAGTAATACAAACTAGTTTGAAACAAGGCTGTTTGAGGGGAGGGTGCTATCGGGGCAGGTAGAGCTGTCCAGGACAGCTGCATCCCCGGCACAGGGAAGACAGCCACTACAAACTCATGGAGGCAGGGGGAGGGTCTCGTGCTAGTCCCAAAGAAGGCCCGTGTAGCTGGTCCGACTGTCATCTCCAGCAGAGGACGCCTCTCAGTTTGATCCGAGCCCTAGAGGAAGCTGGCGGGGGAGGGGGGGGGCACCTGGGGCAGGAAAGAGGGCCTTGGTCCCCTCCCTGTTAGGGAGACGCACTTTGGCAGCTGTGGGGAGGGCAGGCCAGAGCCCCTGATGAAGTCACTGCAGTCATGTACATTAAAGCTTTCCTCAGTGGGAAAGGGGGAAGGGAGTCTGCAGGGAGAGATAGCGGATGGATAGATGTAGCAGATACATGTTGAGTTGGAGGCGTCTCCAGGACGGTCTGAGATCATGTGATGGGCATTCAAGAGGAAAGGGAGGTCTTCATGATGGGGGGCCATAGCGGGGGCTAGGAGAACCCTGCCTTCCCAGCTGCTGCCTCTGTGAGGCTGATTCTTGTTCCCTTTGGGACCACCCTCTGGGGCCCAGCATCCCTCCTCCTTGTCCCGAAGGGCTTTGAAGCAGCACCTCAGGGGTGAGCCTTGGTCCACAGACTGAGCCGGGGGAGGCAGACTCGTCTGGGCCACGTGTTGGGAAAGCATTCCCCCAGCACAGCTCATCGCCCTCTAGGGGCCGCTGGGGGCCCTGGCCCCTGGGACGGCCAGGTGACTGAGCACCTTTCCTCCCTGTGCAGGGGAAGATGGAATTGGAGGAGACAATGAAAGTCTGGAAGCAGCGGACCCATGTCATGCGGTTCTTTCATGAAACAGAAGCCCCGCGACCCAGAGATTTCCTCTCCAAATTCTATGCTGGCCATGACCCATGATGCGACTCTGGAAAGGGGCGCGTTGGTATTTAATTCTAATACTGCAAATAAACTCTATGGTGGAACCTTTGTGTGCTGGCATTCCCTGGATGGGCTCTGTCCCCTCTCCCTGCAGCACAGATTAGTGCTGGGCACTGGGTTAGCTGGCTGGAGTGCTCAGTCAGTCACTGGAAATTAAGACTAGCCAGCTTCTCCCACCAGACCCCGGAGTGGTTCTGAGGGGCCTCAAATCAGAGTGGGAAGGAAGCTCAGAGTGCCCTGATCCAGCCCAGACCTCAGGAGGCCCACCTTGTCAGCAACCCCCCCAGTGGGCAGCCTGCCTCTGACCAAAGTCCCTTCCCTGCCCCGTCTCTGCAACGTCCACCTGCCGCTTCTGACATCAAACACGAGCTGTAAAAACCTGAGGCCTCTTTTGAAAAACAGCGTCCTCTCCGCCTTCCCCCAGGAGGGTGTTAAGACCCTCGAGGCTTTTCTGTGCCCTGAGCAAGGTTGCAGAGGTCCCTACTGTGTTCTGGTCATCATGGGCTTTGAGCTTTCTTATGAAACTTGACCCACTTCAGTGCAGGATTCACTGAGGCACAGGCTCCCTTCTGACGTGGACAGTTTTCCCAAGCTGCTGTGGCCAAAAACAACAAGTCCCTGAATGTCTAACCCCTTGCTAACGAGCCCTTCCCAGTGACCAAGGCGGCCCTTCCAGGAGATCGAGTGCTCCATAAGCCAGCAGGGTGCTGGAGGAAACCAGCCTCCTTATCGATCCCTAAGAGCCCAGGAAACGTTTGGCCTTTAAGTGCCCGCTCAGAGTTGTGGTTTTCAGATGTCCCTCAGAAATGAAAGAGACGGGACCAGAGATGAAGAAGTAGGAATAGAGGAAATTGTCAGAAACCGTCTGGTCTGATTCTGGGCCAACAGAGGTCATCGGTGAGATGGATGGACGCTTACAAAAATAGAAACTATACAAATTAACAGAACAAGAAATGGAGACAAAGCAGCCCCAGAAAAAGAAACCCAATGAGCCCCAAAAGAGCCCCCGAAGAAAGAAGGCAGCCCCTCCTCCTCACGTGGCCTCGATCCCCAGGGCAGGAGGGAAAAAGGAGAACCAAGACAGCTTTCCTCCTGGTAGGGACTGGGGCCTGTGCCCCGCCATGGGTGCCTTCCTCCCCTCCGCCTGGCTGCAGCCGTACTGAAAACAACCACCCAGGATCGTGGCCTGGGGCAGACAGGGCCAACCTCCTCATTCTGTAGATCAGGACAGTGAAACCAGGGAGGGGAATGCCAGGCCAGGACTGGCTCCCACCTGTACTTCCTTCCAGGCAGGCGGCTGCATCACCCTCATCTCCATGCTCCGGTGTGTCAGGATCATATGCCAGGCCTGGGGCCTGCCTAGGCCTCATGTCAGCAGCCAGCAGCTGCCTCTCCCATGCATCACCCAGGACACCACACACACAGACACGGGCAGTCCTGTCCCGGCCTCAGTCGCAAAGTGCTTTTTATTCGTAGTTCAAGTTATCTGGGGCTATAGCCTGGCCTTCACAGAGGGCAAGGGAGCTCGGGCTAACAAGGCTATGTTATACACATCACACCCACTGCACCACTCGGGGAATGCTGGTCGTGGAGATGGAGGGCCGAGGGTCTGTCCTTTGCCCCACGGCTACTGGAGAAAGAACGTGATTGCTATAGAGGCTTCAGTGTCAGGAGAGGGCCGGCCGTCCCCTCTGGGTGATCAGGGCACCCTGCAGTAGAAAGCGGAGCTGCGGTCAAAGGAGCAGCTTCAGGCCAGTGCTTTGCCTTCCTCCCACCTGGTGGCCTCCATCAAGGGCTCTGGGGCCCCTGGAGGAGGGGAGGGGGACAGCACAGGCCAAAGAGGTGTCTGTGCTCAGGAGACACCTCAGTATCCCTTCCCAGCCTTGCTCTCCTCCCCAGGGTCCAGCCTGGGATCAAAGAGGCCTGCTGGATGACCTCAGTCATCTCCGGCCTGTCTCCTTCTGGGGGAGAATTTCATTTGTTTATTTTGGAATAATTTAAAAACCATTAAATTGGGGAATCATCAGGACTGGAATCCTGGCTTCCAGCTATTAGCCATGTGACAGTGAGGAAGCTCTTTAATTTCCCTGAGCCTTAGTTTACTCATCTATAAAATGGGTCAGAGACCACTTGTACCAGGTACCTCAGAAGGTTGGGGTGAAGGAGACACTCCATAACCTCCAATAATACGTCATCAGCTCCCACTGCTATCTTTGGAAGAAGGCTGGACTAGATGGCTAGGAGATGGTGGGGCAGAACAGGAAAAGCTCCGGGTTTGGAATTGGGAAAGACTGGAGTTTGATACTTCACTCTGTGATCCTGTGATTCTGGCAGGTCATTGTAACTCATGTAAAATGTGGACAAGTATACTTGACCTCTACTTCCTGGGGTTCTGAAAACAGTGTCGTGTAAACCTTCAGGCACTAACGAAATGGGCATTAGGATTCGCTTCTCAAAGGCCCCTCTGCTGTGGGACGCCCCATGGTCTTTATTTTAGAGAAGGTGGCCCTCAGAGGCAAGGGCAGGCCTAGAGGCAGGTCCACCGCTCTAGTTCTGGCCTCGATGGGCTGGATCGTCTCAGCCCCTCTGAAGGCCACAGGCCAACAACCTCCAACTCATCCTTCTCCCATTCTTTGTATCTGTGACGGGAGTTAGGCCTTTGCCCTGCGCAGATCACAGAAAGTAAATGGATACAAAGGCAAAATCCCTGGGGCCTGCACCCAGGCTGATGCGTCCCTGAAAAGGAACCCCTTCCGTCTACATCAGCCTCCACTTAGGCACCCCCCCAGGACCAGGGACACCTTGGCAAGCCTCTGGTAGCTGGGAGCTGAAATCTGCCCTCTAACTTCCACGTATTGCTACCAGGTTAACCTTTGATGGGAGGCAACAAGGAAAAGGACGCCCCGAGACGGAGGACTGTGCCACTGAATATCTCGTCCGAACAAGGCTGGAAGCCAGCGCTTCTTCCTTTTCCAGAAGGTGCCCGGCCTGCAGCCACTGGGGACAGGTTCCCCTTTGCAACAACACCCAGGGAGGAGGTTTTTATGCTGAAATGAGGCTGCTTTGTAGCGAGAGGGCATGAAATGCCCAGGGAAGTTGGTGAGGTAAGAAAATGAGGCCCACCTGCGGCTAGCTTGGTTCATCATACACCAACACCGAACAAGTGCCTACTATGTGGCAGGCCCTGGCCTCGAGGAGCTCCGGCGCTCTCCAGGCTTCGCCTGGGCCCCCGAGCTGTGTGTCTCCAGACAATCTGGGACAACGCTGCTCCCCTTTCCGTGGCACTCTGACGGTCTGCAAAGCACTCTACACAGAATCCCTTGTTTGTGCCTCACGACCACTCTGAAAGGGAGGTGCATAAGGAAACTGCGGAGGTGACCAAAGTGAAGCCATCTGCCAGGGTCTGCAGACAGGATTTGAACCCAGACCCCTGACTGCCAGGCCAGGACCGTGCTGGCTAAGCCTCTCCTGAGCTGTCCTGTCCTTCGGGAATACAGGCAGGGAGAAATCGAGTCTTACCGGCTAATCGTCATCGTCATCATCCTCGGGGACAAAGATGTCATGTTCTTCCAAGAGGGCAGCAAAATTCTTGCTGATGAGCGTTCCAACGTACAAGAAGGGAATCACGATGGAGAAGACCCGGAGAAGGCCGAAGGACATCTGCAGGATATTAGAGACAGGCACCGAGGGAAACCACGGCCTAGCGATAGGTGTGTAAGGGTCCTCCTGGTCCTGGGACCCCCAGGGCTGGCCCCCCCCCCCAACCCGCCCAGTGCCCCGGCAGAAGGCCGGGGGTGGGGCAGCTCCCCCCCACCCCCTCCCGTCACCCCTTCCGACCCTCCTGACAGCCAACGCTGCCACCGCACCTACTACGGAACCCAGTGACAGTCCTGGCCACCTGCCCCCGGGGATCTCACAGATGACGTGGAGGGACTGCTGCCAGTGTCGGAGTCCGCAGCCCACGCGCTGCCCCGTGTCAGCGAAAAGCCGCTGGCTCCAAGTAAAAGCGCCCGCAAAGTGGGCAGTGGGCCTTCACTGGCTTCTTCCGGGGGGAGGGGGCATCTCCAGGAAACCCCCGGCGGTTCCTCCCAGCGCCACCATTCCGGGATCCCCGCCGCCCCTCCGTGGTCTCCTCTAATATCCAAGGGCGCCCCACCCCCACCCTCGCTGCCCGCTCCCGACTCTGGGTCGGAAGGGGAAAGGTTGCAGCCCCCAAGCAGGGGCGGAGCCCAGGGCGGCCACGCCTTCAGCCGCTTCCGGGCCGGCCCCCGGAGCCTCCGCCATAGGTCCACCCGCCCGCTCGTCAGCGCAGCCGGCCGCGAGGATTGGCCCGCCCACGGCGGCTCCGAGCGCTGATTGGCCGGAGCCCCGCCTCGCCTCAGCTCCCCCCCCCGACTTACTTTAGCCGGCTTGGGCAAGATGGCTCCGCTGCGGGTAGCGATGAGCGATCGCGAGGGGACCGGGCCCTGCCCCAGGCCGCTTCCAGCCTTCCGCGCGGCCGCCGCCGCCGCCAGCCAGCGAGCCGCTCCCGGCGACATCTTGTCTCTGACCTCGCGGACAGACTGACCGGTGACGTCTGGTGCCGGGAGGGAGACGCCCGCCCTCCGCTCTCGCGATAGCTCCGAGCGAGATTCCCGGAACTTGCCCCCGCGCGCGACCGAGGAGCCGCGCTCCCAGTAGAGGGGGAGGGCGGGGGCGACGTGCGCCGGGCGGCGTGGTGACGTCATCGAGCGCCGTGCCGTGCCCCGCCCCAGGGCTGGCCCGGGGAGGGGAGCTGGGCCACGACCACTGCCCCCATTTTACAAGGGAGTAGACCGAGGCTCCGAGAGGCCTAGTGACTTGGCGCAGCAGGATGCCAGAGGCGGGAGGGATCCTGGGGGCCTCGTTTGACAGATGAGGAAACCGAGGCACGGCAGGTGTAGGGCGGCTCTGCACTTAGCGCTGGAAGGGGCCCCCCCTTATTTTGCAGAAGGAGCCAGGGTCGGTTCACCTCTCCGTGCCACAGTTTCCTCATCCGTAAAACGGGGGTGATAAAAGTGGCACCAACTTCTCACTGAGGCCGTTGTGAGCCTCACCCCAAAAATGGGGACTCTGCCCCCACCCCGCTTCTTGTGGCCCTCCTCTCTCGGCCCCAGGATGGATTGCTATGGCTCCCTATTGCCACAGGCACGAGGCTGCCCCCTACCCCATCTCTCCGGCCCACCTTCAAGATCCCCAAACCCATCGACCACGTGGGCACAGCACCCCCACCCCACGGGAGCCCCGTGCTCTGGTGGATGAGGACCCTGGGGAGCAGAAAACCAGTTGCTCTGCCCACAGTAACAACTATTGAGTGCCCAGTGTTTGCTGCTGGGCCAGAGTTCCAAATTCTCCCCTCCCTGCCCATCGAGAAGGCCCCTTCCATGCCTAAAATGCTCCTATTCATGATGGAAGGAAATGCTCACTACGGGAGGTTAGAGAGAAGGACCTCACTTTTCCCCATCCAAGTTCATGGCCCCCCTCAAGACCAGGGGGGTCCGTGAACTTCGGCTAAGAAGCCCTGGAGTCAACACAGCCACCGCAGTAACGACGAAGCCCCTTCTGACCCAGGCTGGAGTCAATCCAGAGACACAGAGAAGGGAAGAAGCATTTATATAGCACCTACTGTGTACCAGGCACCATGCTAAGTGCTTTACAGATCTCATCTGATGGTCACAACAACCGTGGGGAGGGAGGTACTAGGAACACATTTTACAGCTGGGGAAACTGAGGCAGGCAGAGGGGATGTGACCTGCCCAGCATCATACAGTGTCTGGATTTGAACTCAGACTCAGCCCTCTGTGTACTGAGTCACCAGCTGCCTCCAGAGAGCTTGAGTGGGGGGAGACATGCCACCAGGGCAAGCTTGGCTGCCCCCTCTGCCAGGGGCTGGCCCAGCCTGTGATGTTAGGGGCTTCCTCGTCCTGCTTCCTGAGGCGATGCTGAATGGGTGGGGGGCTTTGCCCTGGACCCGATGGGAACAACAGAGGCTGTTTTGAGGGTCCCGTGGTCCTTTGTGCGCATTCCTGTACAGGGCCCAGAGAGGCAGGGGTCAAAGCGCGGGCGCCTGCCCCCGTGGGATGGCAGCCAGCTAGCCAGAGGTCCCAGGTTCTCGTCAGCTCTGGCGGGCAGCACAACCCCTCTGACATGTAGAAGGGAGACCAGTGGACTCTAGGCGTCCTTCTGACTCTCCGTCCTGATAATTCACTCCAGAGCTAGGAGGGAGGAACGAACCCTCCCCGCCCCATCTTCTCAGCCCTCCCTCAGGAACCAGGGGCTTAGGCAGCTCTGTGTCCTGCCTCACGCACTTCCTAGCCCCTCTGGGCCTCAGTTTCCTCATCTGTAAAAGGATAAGGGGTGGACCAGATGACACCTGCAGGCCCTTCCAGCTTTCAGTCCAGGACCCTGTGACCAGTCTGCTGACCTCCAGAGCCATGCTTGGAGGCAGTTAGAGGCTTCTAGTAGCCTCTGAGTCCTTATCTCCTTCCTGCTCTCCCTCGGGGATGAAGGGGATGAAGGACTAGGAACTGCCCGTGGGCCTGTTCGCCACAAGGCTATTTTCTTTCTCTGGGAATTAACAGACTCCTGGAATCTGCGACCAGAAACCAACGAATCCAACCACAAAAGGAATCCCTCCATGACACCCCAAGGGTTGGTCCCCTGACCTCTGTTTGAAGGTCAGGTGGTGTAAGAGCAAAACAGGGAAAGGGCCCTGGCCGGAGGCAGATGGCCCAGGCTCAGCCCTTCTCTGTGAGATGTGGCCAAGGGACCTCCCCTCCTTGGGCCTCAGTTTCCTCATCTGTAAAATGGGGGTCACAATGCCTGCCCTTGAGGCTACACTGTCTCATTATTACCCTTTTTCTTGCTATGTCATGTTTTGGTATCATAGGATTCAGGGCTGTTAGAGATCCCCTTCCTGGTTATTCTTACAAATGGAGAAACTGAGGCTCAGAGCTGCTCACTGATTCTCCTCAGGTCACCCAGTCATTCGGTAGCCATCTTTCCCTTCTGACTTTCTTCTGAGGACTCAGCCCCGTGTCCTGAGCAAATTGGGGAAAGGAAAGAAGAGGGGTGTAATACCTCCCTTTGGACGATGGCCGCGGTGGGAACCCGGGGGTGTAACAAAGATAGGAAAGGAGGAGGGGGCTGGGGCCGGGCGAGGAGAGTGACCAGGCAGCTTCTCCCCCGGAGCTGATCCGGGGCCCCACGGGCAGCGTGGAGGGTGACAAGCCAGACTGCCCGGGGGGGGAGGGGGTCAGGAGCCCCATGCCCCCCTGCCCTCCCCTCACAGCCCGCCACCCAGGCCCCTGGCTTGCAACCACTCCCTCCGGAGATCCATGATCTCCTGGCCGTACCAGTCATGCAGCTTGGGGAAGCAGGAGGTCTCTGGGGACACCGGGCTGTCCCCCCCATTCAGGGGCATGCCGGCCGGGCCCCGGGGACAGTTCTCGGCCAGGCGCCGTCGGCCAGCGGGAGCGGGGAGCCTTGTGGCCCCCTGCTCCCCTTCTGTACCTGCCGAGGCGCTGCCCTCCCTGAGCTCGGCCTCGGGCTGCGGGGGTGGCCGGTCCGGAGGGGGCCCGGCCCTGTGGGGCCAGTGGCGGGGGCCGGGGCGGGAGGCGAGGCTCAGCTGCGTGTCGCAGAGCTGCCTCTCCAGTTCCTGCACCAGCAGCCGCATGTAGCCGAAGCTGGCCCTGGAGAGCACCTTCACCCAGGCCTCCTGGGCCTCGGGCCCCTCGGCCGCCAGCACGTAGGGCCGCAGCCCGGGGGCGTCGAAGCGGATGGCGAAGGCGAACTCCTGGGGGGCCTCGCACAGCTCCACGGTGCAGCCTTCCAGCACGATGAGGCCCAGGGGGGGCCGGCCCTCCCGCCCCTCGAAGTAGAAGAGCAGATTCCCCTTGAGGACGAACCAGTAGCGCGGGCAGGAGCCCCCGGCCCCGGCCGCTGGCTGGCGGGCACCCTGGCTGCTGCAGCGGCGCAGGAAGCCCTCGTGGTCAACGGGAGAGCCACTCACGGCGTAGTGGGCCATGCTGTGTTCGTTCAGCTTCATGGCGCCGACTGCCCGGACCCTGCGGACGGAGGGGAAGCCGGGAGCTGAACAGAGGGCACCCCACGGCCTCGTCCGAACAGCGGGAAGGAGGGGAGAACCGGGGACCATCCCCTGACCTGCGGGAAGCCCTGCTGACCAGCCCTGGCCACAGGCCCTGGCTCGAAGGCACCTGAGGCGGGGGTCCAAGGGAGGAAGGAGCCAGGCCGGGGGAGGTGGGGTGTTCTGGGGCCTCAGGGCCCGGGCTCCAGTCCTGGCCAATCACTCAGTGCCAGGAGGCCTGGATACCCCCGAAGCCCCTTCCAGTGGGGATCCCGTGAATGTCACACTTCTGGTGATGTCTTAGGTTCATTCAAGCAAACATTCCGTCCCCCAATCCGGTGGTTGTGAGGTCTCCGTGGAGCCCCCTCCCCCCCTTAAACTCTCCTAGAGCGCTTTTGTGTAAATGTCGGATTTACCCTGCCCCTCCCCGCACCCCCCACTGCCTGTCACCCGGGGGATGAAACCTGTGCCATTGAAACTAAAGGCTGTGCTTGGATACAGCAATTGTCCGAGCTGGTGGTGTTCTATTAAAGCCTAAACACTCTTTGTTATCAGGGATAGCTCTCTTGGAGGGGCCAGGGGAAGGGATATGGGAGAAATTTGGGGCATGTAAAAACGAAAGGTGTCAATAAAATCTTATTTTAAAAAATCAAGGCCAAGCTTCTTATTTCACAGATGGAGAAACTGGCGTCTGAGCAGGGAAGTATTAGTCAGTACTAGAAAGTGAGTGTTCCTGGGAGGGAAGGAGAGAACTCTATGGAGTTGAGGGCAGAGGGAGAGAGGGCGGTGGGGTAGCAATGGCCCATATTCAGAGTATTCAGGACCGATTGGCTCTTATCTTGGCTTACCCTAGGGCATACCTGCTTAGGTCAGGACTGGTTTGGACTTGTTGGCCACTACTGTCTCCCCAGCTGTCCGGTCCACTCCTGGTCTACCCCCGGGGCGGCCCGGGCCTCTTCCTCTTCTGTCAAATGAAGGAGCATTCAAGCCCTGGGGCCCCTCCCAAGCAGCCCGAGCTCCAGAGGGCCCAGAACATCCCACCTCCCCCAGCTCGGCTCCTTCCATCCTTGGACACCTGCCTCGGGGGCCCCCAAACCCCTCTCGTGGGCAGCTTCCTCTGCTTTACCAACGTCCCTCCCTGATCCTGGATGTACTCAGCTCCTCAAGTTTGTCTCTTCCCCCCACCCCCCAAGGTGAGCGTCATTTGAACGCAAAGCTCTTGTCCCAAATGAGGCAGTGCAGGACACTGGAAAGAACGCTGGATTTGGAGTCAGGTGACTTGGGTTCAGATCCTGGCTCTGCCAATTACTCCCTATGTGGCCTTAGGTCAGACCTCTCTGGGCCTCGGTTTCCTTGTCTGTCAAATGAGAGGGTTGGACAGGACTTCCAGGGTCCTGTGACCTTGGACTCTCCCTTTCCCTCACAAACAATCCTAATGACTCTACCTCTACAAAGGTAGGAGTCATGGGAGCTGGGTTCCAGTTCTGGCTGCTCTCTGGCCATGGGCCAGATCTTCACTCATAAGTGAGGGCAGTAGACTTGATGCCTTCCCTGGCCCCTCAAAGCTCTCAGTCCAGGATCCTCTGGGCTCACCTCTGGGCCCTCCTTCCCTCTCCTGGGAGCAGGAGGCCTGGCAGCCCTGACTTCCCTGTCTGTAAAATGGGATTGCTCAGGATCCCTCCAGCTCTGCCCTTTAGGGAACTGGGCTGAGCCCATAAAACCTGAGTCCATCAACTCCTGGGGCTGAAGGAGATGTCAAGGTAATTCCTCCCTTGCAAGGACATTCCACTTAGGACATTCTTATCTCAGGCACAGTCTAGGCATTCTGGAGATGGGGCTGAACATCCCTTTATCTCCCTGGCCATCTTCCATGGCCCTGGGGCTGGCCTGGACAGAGGCTGGGGCCGTCCACCAGGAGGTGCCCAGGTGTTTCAGGGTCTCCCTGAAGCCAAGCTCCATGCTAAAGGCTGGGGATGCCAAGAAAGGCAAACCCAGTCCCTGCCCTCAAGAAGCTTCCAGTCTAACAGGGAGACAAGCAGGCAGGGGCCTGTCAGGTCCTGGGGTTTGGTAACCACTCACATTTTCTATCTCTTTCCCCAGAATGTTCCCGTGACCTGGAGCTGAGTCACACCCTGGTCTAACTGCTGGGGCCTCCTTCCTTTCCTTCCAGGCTGGTGGGGACAAGGGAGGGCAGGGGGGTTCAGCCAGCCTCACCCTGAACCAGACAGGGGCTGGCAGCAGCCCGGGAAGGGGGCAGGGCACCAAATCTGCTGCTCCACATAACTGGTCCCACATCCACGCTTGTGAATGTTCAGTGACATTGGAAGCAGGTCCAAGCCCCTCATTTTACACACAAGGAAACCGAGGCCCACAGACAGGCACAGTGACTCACTGCCCGGGGTCACACAGCTGTTAAGTGTCGGTGTCTGACTGAGGGGGGATTTGAATCTGGCTCTTCTGCACTCTCTCCACCACACAAAGGTCGGGATGGACTGGATTATAGGTTGGCCGCTTTAGAATTTGAGGCAGCTCCAGAGACACCTAGCCCACCACTCGTTGTTTTACAGGGGAGGATGCATGCACAGAAAAGGGGAGTAGGTAAGTGAGTGGCAGAACCCAGCTGGAGCCCAAGGTCCCCCCTAACTCCAGGATTCCTGGGAGTGATTCTTCCTCACTGTCCTCATTGTCCCCAGGTCCTTGTATCCTCAAGGCACATGCCACTCCTTCCCTGCCCCTCCCTCCCTCCCCTCTGGTCCCCCACCCCCACCCCAGGGATCTGGGACTGCCTTCTGGGGAATGGGGCCCAGCAAGCTCCTCCCCCCCATCCACCCTAGGAACAAAATGGGCAGATGGGGGAAGGGGAAGGGGACCCTCCCGGGGAGCCACGTGGCAGCGCACCTCCGCCCCAAAGACACACTCCCTACTATCCAGGACTGCTTAGTAACTGGGATCTCCTAACTTAAACTTGGCTCCCGAGGAGCTGCAGAGGGGGGCATGGGGCATTACCTTGACTTTGGATCTTAGATCTGACTCCTCCAGCCCCCCATCCCCAGACGGTACAGTAGGCGGCCAGGAAAAAGGGCAGGAAAGAAGGCAGCAGCGGAGGGGAAGGGCTAAGGCAGCCCTGCCTGATTTGGGCAGAGCCAAAATGCCCGGGGTTTTCTCTGCAGCTGGATCGAGGGGGAGGAAGGGAGGGAGGCAGGCTGAGCCGAAAGGAGGGCCCTCCCACGAAATGGAGAGGCCCTGAATGGGGAAGGGGAAGGGACCCTGGAAAGCCACAGCTGCAGAGAAGATGGGATGGAGAGAATGGCAGGACTGGTTAGAACAGAGGATGTCAGGGCCGGGAGGGAGCTTAGAACACAGGATGTCAGATCTGGGGGGACCTGAGAACCAAGAACACAGAAAGGTAGAGCTGGGAGCTCTAAAAGTCAAGTTTTTGCCCCACTCTCCCCAACACCCTGTTTGCTCCCTATTACCTCCGAGCTCAAATATAAAATTCTCTATTGAGCATCCAAGCCCTTTACAACCTTCCCAGCCTTCTTCCACCTGAAACCCCTCTCCCTGCTCCGTAAGCCACCTCCCCTGGCCATCTTTTGGTCCCTGGCACAAAGAATGCTCTGGCTCCTCCTGCTCTGCATTGTCCCTGGCTGCCCCTTGTGCCTAGACTGAGCTCCCTCCTAGGACCCACCTGCTGGTTTCCCTTCATACTCAGCTCCCACCTACCTGGTGCAAGATGCCTTGCTTGGCCCTTCTTCAGGCCAGCGCCTTCTTTCTGCCATTATGTCTCTACCTTGTTTGTACATAGTGCCCCAAACTGTGAGCACCTTGAGGGCAGGGACTGGCTGGTGCCTTGCCTGTAGCCCCAGTGCCTGGAGTAGGTACTTGATGTTTGTTGACTGATTCGAGACCTTAGAACAAGGAATGTCAGAGGCTCTAGGGAGCTTGGAACAGGGAGTGTGGGGACTTAGGGGCTCAGAAAACGGAATGTCTGAACAGAGAGGCGTCCTGCCTAGTCAGGTCTAAAAGCCTAGAGTTACAAAAGCAGAGTTTGCCTCCGGAGGTCGATGTGGACTAGTTCAGGGTTTATCTTCATTGCCCTAGGGCGCTTGGACATTCTGGCAAAGAAGCCCCCGACCCCTTTCCAGAATGTTATCAAATGCATAAAACCAAATACATAGCACTGCAGTGGAAACCGATTATATTGAAACACACTTGTCCAAAAACAAGTTTGTGGACCCCGGCTTCAGAACCCCTTGGTTAGACTGTCGGAGGTGGGTCAGCTTCATCTTCTGGTCTGAAATCCAGGTGGAGAGGGCGGGTTTCCCGCTCCAGGCGCCCATCCCTCCCTGCCCCACAGAGTAGCTCGTACTGCAACTATCTGCAAGCACGGCTTAGGCTCAGGAGGCCGGACCTCCTGGCTCGGTCAGGAGAGGGGCGGAGCTTGGAGGACGTTCGCGTATTGTAGGTTGGAAGGGGGGGGCTCCCGTAGGGCAGGGCTGTCTAGGTGACGCCACTCGACCCCGCCCCTCGGCTCGCCTCCCGTGATTGGTGGGTGGTGGCGGCGGGTCACGTGGGTGCCGGACAAATAGTGGAGTTCCCCAGCCTCTGGCACCGGCCTTGGAGGTGCAGAGCGAGGTGGGCTTGGCCGAACCTGTTGGGGTAAGTGAACCGCGCAGGGCCGGGGGCACCCGGGCGGAGGGGCTGGTGCGGGACGCTGGGCACGGAGCCCTCGGCTCTGCCTGGACCTCTCTTATTGGGTGGAACCTGGGCCTCCGTTTCCCTTCCAGTAAAATGAGGGGATTGCACTCGCTGACCTCTCAAACCGTCCTCCCTTCCCCCGCTGTAATCCCCGGAGCTCCTATTACTCACGTTATTCCTTCTTGGGAAGAGTGCCTCAGTTTCCCCATCTGGAGGACGAGGAGGCAGGACTCGAGGAGGTCTTGGGGACCGACCGGCTCTGAGTCCCCCTTCCAGGGATGCTGGTCGGTCTACACTTGCACCATGAGTTCAAGCCTAGTTTAAGGCAGAGTAATCTCGAGTGACCGAGGGGATCGCGCAGAGTTGGAGGGCAGAGGCGGGGAGCGCCTGGGGCTCATGGGGTGGCCAGGTCCCGCGGCTGGACGAAAGCACGCCTCGCTGGGGCTCAGTTTCTCCTCCTGTAAAAAGAGGGGGCTGGACGAGAGAACCTCCAAGCCCACCTTCCCCACCTGTCAGCCCTCCGGGGAAAGCCCCAGGAAAGTCTGTCCTCTCTCCTTTTCTGGCTGTGTGGGTCTGGGAAAGCCTTACAGACTCTGAGCCTCAGTTTTCTCCTCTGTGAAATGGGCATGATGACCTAGAAAAGACTTTGGGAGCCTTAGAACTTTCTAGAGGGGAGCTCTGGTTTGGCTTTGCTTCTGGAGTGGAGGGGAGGGGAGGTGGAGGTTCAGGTTAATAGGGAACAAGTGATATAAAGTAGGTTCTACTACTACTATTATTATTAAAGAGAGTGGCCAGCTGGCTCCCTGGACAGAGCCCCACCTCCATTCAGCTGAGTTGCCTTGCAGGTCCCCAGGAGGACAGCCCCTAAGGTGGGGGTGGGGGGAGTTGTCTGGAAGACATCCTGGAGGAGGAGGTCTCCCACTCCAAAGGGCCATGGTCTGAGCTCAGAAGTTGGGGAACTGAAGCCCCAGAAAGGGGTTACGGGGCATAGGGGGCGGCACAAAGCCAGGGTGGGCACCACAGAAGAGGCACTGGCTCTGAATTTGGCCCAGACCTTGGTACAACTGCTCTCTCAGCAGCTTCAGCCCTCCCTGTGTGGCCTGGAGTTCCAGGCTGGGCAGTGATCTTCCCAGGAGCTGGCACTGCCCATCCTGCCACCCTCCTTAAATGCTGCAGGGCTTATCCCCCCGAGGGCAGGCCTAAGGGAAGGGGGTGTTCTGGGCTGAGCGACCCCTGGGATTCACCACCATCCCCCACTCTCGGTGTGTGTCCGTCCCCTGCAGACAGCAGACTCCTGGCAGGCAGGCGGTACCCATTTCCTTCCAGATCCAGGGCCCTGGGAGTTGTAGGTACTCAGAGAGTCTGTTTGCTTTCAAATTGGTACCCGGTCAGGGAGCTCGTTCTTCCCTCTGAAGTTGGGGGATGGCTGCTCTTCCCGTGGGAGCCCGGCAGGGGAGAAGCTGCCAGCCCCGGGGCTCCTGCTCCAGCCCCCTCCCCTCCCCCAGGTCGCAGTCATGAAGCTGACGGTGACCTTGCTGGCCCTGGTGCTCCAAGTGTTCTCTCTGGAAAATGGGCTGATGCGGACGCCGCCCATGGGCTGGCTGGCCTGGGAACGGTACCGCTGTAACATCAACTGTAAGGAGGACCCTGACAATTGCATCAGGTGGGTGTGGGCCTACAGAGGACCCTGGGGCCGAGGGGCGGGGCCCTCTGGACAGAGCTGGGGCCGGGGTGGTGGGGACTCCTGCCTGGAGGCAGCTTGGACAAGTCAACATTTGAGCTGAAAACAGGACCCTGGGGCCCGGGATCTGGCGCTGGCTTAAAGGCCGTGGGGTCACATCTGTGTAGCTTGAGGAGCCGGCCTGGGCCCACTGGCAGGGATGCAGGCTGGGCTGGGATTCCGGGCAGGGGAGAAGGCACTGCAGCCTACCCAGGCCAGCGCATGGCTCGGGCCCACCTGCCCCAGGGTCTGAGCGTGTGCCCCTTCTCCCGTTCCCACGTGGCAGCGAGCAACTGTTCATGAACATGGCTGACCGGCTGGTGGAGGACGGCTGGAGGGACCTGGGCTACACCTACATCAACATTGATGACTGCTGGATGATGCCGGAACGGGATGAGGACGGGATCCTGGTGGCTGACCCCGAGAGATTCCCCCATGGCATCAAGTACCTGGCAGACTATGTGAGCCGCGGGGCAGGGCCTCCCGAGGACCGAGGGAAGCCCTGCCTCCTGCCAGGGGACGGGCCTTCGCGCTCCCTTCGGTCCTGAGCACCTCCCCTCTCCCTCACTGGCAGGTTCACTCCCGGGGCCTGAAGCTGGGCATCTATGAAGACCTGGGTAACAAGACCTGCATGGGTTACCCTGGCAGCACGCTGGACAAGGTGGTTCTGGACGCCCAGACCTTTGCCAGCTGGGAGGTGGACATGCTGAAGCTGGACGGGTGTTACTCGAGCCCCGAGGACCGCGCTCAGGGTGCGTGAGTCTGACCGTCCGTGGACCGCCGGACGTTCCTAGGCGTGCCTGTGCCGTCTGCCCAGGGCCTGAGGGAAAGCTTCTGGGAGGCATCCAGGCCCAGCACTGGGCCACTGGGGTGGTAGACAGGCGGTGCCCAGGCTGGTGAAGATGACGACCCTGGGCCTGAGCCAGGGGAGGCTGGAGGGTCTGAGTGAACAAGAGAGGGGCAGGGCTGACGGATGGCTGGAGCAGGCCTCAGTTTCCCTCCCTTTGGGAATCAGAGAATGAGATCCCAAGGTGGAAGGCTCTTCCAGCCATGATGGTCATTACTGATCACACTGGATTTCCCCTGTCCCCATTCTTGGACCTTCCTTGACGGGTGGGTGTTTGTCCCTTTTTAGGGTACCCGAGCATGTCGAAAGCCCTGAATGCCACAGGCCGCCCCATCGCCTACTCCTGCAGCTGGCCAGCCTACGACGGGGGTCTCCCTCCTGAGGTGAGCCCTCAGCGGGGCAGAGGCCAAGAGCAGGCACTTGGAATCTTAGGGCTGAAAGGGCCTTGGAGGATTTAAAGCAAACTCAGGGCCACACCTGGTCTAGTCCAACCTGACCATTCTACAGAGGAGGAGACTGAGGCCCGTCACCAAGTGAGGCCACTGCACCAGGACCAGAATGGGTTCTCCCGATCCATGTGTGGGCAGGGCAAGGCCGGCCTGAGGCCCCCCCAAGGGCAGGGGGTCTGGTGGGTCCATTCCTGGGGGTGGGACGGATGCCCTGACTCACCTGGCTGCTGGTTTCTAGGTGAACTACACCCTCCTGATGGACATCTGCAACCTCTGGCGCAATTATGACGACATCCAGGACTCGTGGCAAAGCGTCCTCACCATCGTGGACTGGTTCACAAAGCACCAGGAAGTGCTGCAGCCCATGGCGGGCCCCGGCCACTGGAACGACCCAGACATGGTACTGGGCTAGGTGGCCCGGGGTGGGGGAGGGGATGGCGGCATTCACACTCCAGGAAGAGCAGGTCTGACTCGGCTCTGTCCTTTCCGTTCCCTCCAGCTGCTCATCGGGAACTATGGGCTGAGCTTCGAGCAGGCCAAGTCACAGATGGCTCTCTGGACCATCTTCGCAGCCCCTCTCTTCATGTCCACGGACCTTCGCACCATGTCGGCCCAGAACATGGACATTCTGCAGAACAAACTCATGATTGAGATTAACCAGGATCCCTTGGGTGTCCAGGGACGCAGAATCCTCAAGGTATGAGGCGGGACCACCACACACGCACACTCGGGGCTTAGCCTCGTTCAGCTTGGCCCAGGAGGGCAAAACAAGAACAGACCTACAGAAAGGACAGCTTTTAGAGGCCTCTTCTTGGGCACAGCCCCTCCCAGCCCTGAGGCAACGCCCGCAGGCCTGGGTGAGCCGGGCTGAGGGGAGCCCCGGGGCGGCAGCTGGGGACTGAGCTGCTCCCCGTTTCTCTGCCTCAGACCCAGGACGCCATCGAGGTGTATGTGCGCCCGCTGTCCAGGAAAGCCAGCGCCATCGTCTTCTTCAGCCGCAGGACGGACATGCCCTACCGCTATCACACCACGCTCAGGTCCCTCAGCTTCACAGACTCACTGTTGTACGAGGTGAGTCACGGCCAGAGATGCTGCCTGGGAAAGCGCCCGCCCTCTCTGGGTCGCAGCGTCTTAGAGGACGAGGGGGAAGGTGGGAGTTGATCTCCCCCAGCCTTGCCAGTTCTGGCCCCTAGGGTGGGTCCCGCTGACCCTCCACTGGGTCCTGACGCTCGCCTTGTCTCCTCTTCCAGGCCCAGGACGTCTACACAGAAAACATCATCAGCGGCCTCACGGCAGACACCAACTTCACCGTGGTTATCAACCCATCAGGCGTTGTCATGTGGTACCTGTACCCCATCTCGGGCTTGGAGAACCCCCTGGCCAGTAAGACGTTCCTCCGGTTGTGAAACCTCATTGGATTCCAGCTTTCAGCCTCAACTGACAGGACTCAGGAAGGGGACAGTGGGGGTGGGAGCTGTCCTTTCAGCTTGCCTCCACCGGGCATCGTCAGGGCTTGGCCCATCTCCTACCAGCTGGAGCCAGAATGCCTCAGGACTCGTGGCGTGCCCAGGAGTGTCCGCACTGGCCCTCCCTCCTCTGCTCCAGGCCCCAACGACTCCCTGGACTTGGGGCAACCCCAAGGGCCCCACCTTTCCTGCCAAGCTGGGCTGGGCGATCTTTGGGTCTGAAAGCTGGTCATTGTGCTCTCAGCAGGAGCTCTGGTGATTCTGAAGATTATCTGCCTCCCTTCTAGGCAGAGGGGGAAGAGTGGAGGGAAGCAAGGGGGATGGACAGAAAGTTCTCCCAGCTGTGCCCCCCCGGCCTTCTCCTGGCCGCCCCCTAGACCCTAATAAAGCTACTCTTTAACAGCATCATTGGTCACTGGGCTCCACCCCAGACCGCTGATTTGTGGCAGGGGCCACCTCTGGGTGCAGCGGCTAGACTGGAGTGGGGGGTGCTGCTGGGCCTGCTGTCAGGGTCTGCCCTCTTCCCCTCCTGTGCCCATAGGCCCCACAGCCTGGGCCTGTTAGCTGGAAGACCAGAGCAAAGGGATGGGCTGGGGGGTCCAGAGGGCACAGCTGCCTTCCTGTTGCAGGCCTCGGTGCCCCTCTAGGCAGGGCGGTCATGGCCTGACTCTAACGAGCTGTAGGCAGAACGCACCTAGAGCCCTTTAAGGGGTCCCAACAACCCTCTGGGACAGAGGCAGGAGAAGGACTGTAGATCCAGAGGGAGCATTGACTTATCCAGGGTGAGCCAGCTTCCTTCACTCCTAGAAAATCATCTCCCTTTCTGGCTAAGACCCAGGGAAGGCTGCCCCAGAATGTTTGTTTTTTTTTTCAGTGAGGCAATCAGGGATAAGTGACTTACCCAAGGTCACCCAGCTAGTAAGTGTCAAGTGTCAGGCTGGATTTGAACTCAGGTCCTCCTGACTTCAAGGCCAGAGCTTTATCCACTGCACCACCGAGCTCCCCCTTTTCTTTCTCTTTTTTTTTTTTTTTGAGCCTGCCCCAGAATGAAGCCTGCCCTCAGTGCCCAACTCTGGGCACCCCTTGGCTTGGGAATGTGGCCCCAGGATGGCCAAGCTGGCCCAGGGACATTCCCCCACTCGCACATCACACCTTCCCAAGCACTGACCACACAGGAAATGAAATGTGTGCTGGCTTCTGCAGGTCTTCCTGGAAAAACCTGTGCCCGGGCCCCTCCTAGTGGATCTCCACTTCCCCAGTTTGGAAACAGAAAGCGCCCAAGTGAGATCAGGCTATGGTAGGGGACGGGGTGTGGGCAGAGGACGTGGCTTCTGGTCCTGCCTCGGCTGCTTGGGCAGGGCACTGCCCTCTGGGGGACCTCGGCTTCCTCATCTACAAAATGGACTGGGGGAGCCAGGCGGCCCAAGGTCTGTGACCTTGGTGTCTGCAGTGGAGGCTTCCTCATTTCAGTTCATGGGGGGCTGCCAGCCATCTCGTGTAACCTATCTGCACAGAAGCTGCCCTCTGAGCACGGGCCATCTCAATTCTCCATCTCTTGTACCAAACCAGGCCACACACTGGTCCTGTCTGCCTCCTTCTGGCCCTACAGGCCGGGGAACACCCTAATTTGGAGGAGGAAAGCTGCGCCTAGAGATGGGCAATGACTATGCCAAGGTCAAATCTGTAGGAGGCTCTGGCTTGGACCCAGGTCTGTGACCCCACAGCCAGTAGGGCTCCCAGGGCTCCTCCCTGCCTGTCAATTCCTTCACTGCTGCCTAGTTCACTGAGGAGGGCTCCCACCCCGACTCAAGTGCCCCAAAGGCCAATGGCGTGGAAGGCAGCCCTTACTCCACGCAGGACTTCCAGCTGCTGGTCTGGCCCTGGTGTTATTCAGAGAGGATAATAATAGATAACATCTATAAATTGCGTACTGTGTGCCTGGCACTTCTTACACACGCTGACAGCCCACCATGCTCATGAAGCCCGAGTGATGGGCTAAGCAGTTCTTCACAACAACCCTGGGAAGGAGATGCTATTATATAATTCTCACATTACCAGTTAGAGAAACTGAGGCAGAGAGGTTAAGTGACTTTCCAACGGTCACACAGCTAGTAAACGTCTGAGGCTGGATTTGAACTCAGGTCTTCCTGACTCCAGGCCCAGCACTCTGTCCATGGTGTCACCTAGAGGCCTCCCAGAGGTGTCATGTGTTTGCAGAACGCAGGCAAGGAAAGGGCTGGCCAGCCTAGCGCCTCTCACTTCACTTTATTAGCCCCACCGAGGGCCCAGGCCTCTCCTGAAGTGTGACGGGACCTGGTGGCCTTCAGCAGCTTTGTTCCACGCTCCTATGATGCCTGGGAGAGGAGAGGACGGGAGGGCAGGCCACTGGGTCTGTGCGAAACCAGGAAAGTTGTCTAATACCCCTTCTCCATCTCCTCAGGAAGTGGTGAGAAAGGTGGGCTGCCCTTTGGAGAGAACACAGCAGGGAGCCCACGGCCAGGGTCGGGCCTGACCAGGGACCCTGGGGAAGGGGGGTCCCTCCAATCAGGGACCCAGGACCTGGAACCTCCTCATGCTCTCCAGCCCCTCCCCTCCCTTTCCCCTTGGCCACCATGGCCACCGGCCCAGTGCCTCCCCACAGGGGCAGGTCCTGAGGACTGGCCGTTCAACCTGCCTGGCTCCAGTGAAGCTGACTCCTTCCTGCTGCTCCCAGAGCTGTGCCCACGGACCTCAGGAAGGGCAGGCCCGCCCTCTTTCTCCACCGGCCCTGCTCGGTCTGACCCAGTGCCGGGAGAGTCCTATTTCCCCTTTGCTCACTCCTGATCCAGTGAGGACCCAGAGAATGTGGCTAAGTGCCCAGTGGCAAAAGAGGAGGCAGTCACCCAGAAAAGGGCCCTGATGCTTGCGGTGTCTGTGGGGTAGATAGAAGGGGGAACGTTGGTCAGCAGCTTCTTCTCTTCCCCAGGGGAGCCTTCTCTCAGCCCCCCGTATTTCACCGACTATGGAACAGTGACGTTCACTGGGCGCTGGGAGGTCAGACCTGCCATTCTGGAAGCAATTTGGATCCAGTGACGCAACGGCCAGTGGCCTCTGACTCAGATGCCGTGTCTAGGCACGGGCACCAAGGAGGGCAGAGATGGGGAGGGGCATCAGAAGGATGGCAGCACTTTAACTGGGAATAAAATGGGTGCCTGCCAACTGAAGGCTGGCCAGACAAACTGTGGCTTTTCAAAGAAATGGAACAGTACTGTGCTCTAAGAAAATGACGTGGGACTGACTCAGCTGTTGCTACCTGGCCCAGGGAGCCCCAGCACGGCTGGAAGGCGAGCCTCTGGGCCAGGACAGAAATCATCAGGGCAGTCCTGTCCAAGGGCCGGGCTCTGACTACTCTGGGAAGATGCTTCCCTTGTCCCAAAGCCCCCGTGGCTTCTGTCCTGTCCCAGAGGCACGCCTCCCAGCCGTGCTGGGGCTGCCTGGGTCAGGGGGCCACAAAGAAGTCTCATGTGGACCGATGCAGAGGGGAGCGAGCAGAACCAAGAAAAACGTCGTAGACAACGGGTGCAATGCCACGGCCAACTGCGACCTCAGGGGGGCGGGGGGGGGCGGTGAAGGGCCTCCACAGGGGTGAGATGTGGCCACACCCCAAGACCCGTCTAGTTTAACTCTTCTTTGTTAGACCGGAAGGCTTGGGGAAGGGAGGGCCAGAGGGGATGGTCTGGAAGTGAGTTTTAGCTTAACAATTTGATGTTTTTACAGATGCCCTTATATAGCACTTCCTGCCAGAGCATCTCCAAGTAGCTGCCGACACAGCACAATTCTAGCCGCTTTTTTTTAAAGCCCATTTCATTTAGCCAGAGAGAGCTCAGCTGAAAGTGGCTTGCTGTATGACCAGCTACCTCCCTGCCGGAGTCAGAGACCCTGCCCTGAGGGCTTCACCCTCTCAGCTGCAGAACGGGGCCCAGTGGGGGGTCCCTCCACTGACCTACCTAGGGGAGGTCCCGGCCATGCTTTTCTCTACTCCATCCTCCCTCGACACTTCTCACTAGTCAGGGATATAGCCCACCCTCCACGCTCCCCATTGACACACAGCGAGCACATGGGAAGAGAGAAAACAGGCTACAATGACAGCTCATGTGTAGGGAACATGTATGGCCATCGCAGCTCCCAGCTCCAGAATGCTGCCCCTCAAAGTCCTTTCTTTCCTAATGGAGTCTCAGAAAGCTCCCTTCTTCACTGCCAGAGCTGGCTCTCTCTCAGGTTCATAGATGGCTCTTTTCTCTGCTGCCAGAGGTCTCACTCCTCCAAGCTGCTTCCTCTCTCCAGTGACCGCCCTCTCATTCTGTGTCTGTTTGGAGTGTGTTTCTCTGCTTCCTTGACCTTTCTCAAAAATGACTCTCAAGGGCAGCTAGGTAAAACAGTGGATAGAGCAACGGTCCTGGAGTCAGGAGGACCTGAGTTCAAATCCGACCTCAGACACAACAGTTACTAGCTGTGCGACCCTAGGCAAGTCACTTAACCCCAACTGCTTCACCAAAAAAAATAAAATAAAATAAAATGACTCTCAAACTGCTGAATTGGGGATCTCCTCAGATGCTTATTAGCTGTGTGACTCTGGGCAAGTCACTTCACCTCTGGTTGCTTCAGCCCTCCCAGGGCTGTTGTAAAGTGCTTAGCGCAGTAGCTAGCCATCATGCTCCTCACCATTGTGACTCCTTTGGAAAGCCATGCTTACAATCTATGACTCTATCCTATGATAACGTTGACTGAGCTGTGTGTGTGTGTGTGTGTGTGTGGGCATGCACACACATGCGTGTGCATGTACAAAACCCAGCCCTCCCTCTCTGCCACACGCTGTCTCCTTAGTTATGCCAAATATTCACAGCTATCTACTTGCTAATTCTATTACCAACCTATCCCCAATCTTGTTATTTAGCATGTGTAAAGTACTAATTATGTCAAAGTTCTGGAAAACACAGAGACAAGTTCCTAGAAACAATGCCTCAGGTGAGCTGTGAGCCACGTCGGCGGCAGATGCCCACCTCCGGCAGAACCTCTTCCAGCCTTCCGAGGGCCCTTTCAGACAAACCAAGAAGGCACGCTGCGCCCGCCATGGCCCTCTCCTGGGATGGTCTGGGAGGGGCCGGGCTGGCACAGCCTCGGGCTCTGACACTGCCTCGGCTGCGTGTTGTCTGCAAGGAACGGCTGATGGTCTGTGAAATAAGGGTGAGGAGAGTGCCCCCCAATCCAGAGCATGCCCTATACACACACATACTAAACATACACACACATATGCACATACATATATACACACCACACATGTGCACACAACAAACATACACACATACACACCATGTGCGCACATGCACACACATGTGCATGCACCTACACACATACACACGCGCGCGCACACACCATACAATACACACAACAAACATATACATACACTCACATACATACATACACATCACACATATGCACACACATAACACACATACACAATGCACATACACACACATACATACACACAGCCGTCACAGCCATCAGAGACAGACAGAGGGCTTGCTCTTTGTCCTTCTTCCCTCCCAGAGGCCCCCCACACCCCCCACACCCCACCTCCTGTGGTCCCAGCTCCCGCTCATCTGAGTCCAGACATTTTGCAAGGCTGGGTCGTCAGCTGGACGCGTGGGCCAGAGCCGCAGAGGACGAGACAGCATCATGCCAGCTACACTGGGGGGGCTGTCCCCTCACCCCAGCGAGGCTCCTGCCGCCACACAAAGGACCAGAGTGGTGGACCGCTTGAGGAGTCTTCACGCCAGCCTGAATGTCGTCATCATTCTATCAGGAAGGACAGCGGCAACAATAATTAAGGCAGGTTAGTTTATTTTTTTTAAAGACGAGTTTTATTGCTCTTTTATTTTTACATCACCCTCATTTCCAAATATATGTTCCCCCCTCCCTTGTCCAGAGAGTTATCTCTTATCATTATCAGAACATAATATTGTAAGAACAAAAAAGGAAGAAAAAAAAGCTGTCCAGCAAAACAAATCAACCTATCCTCGGCTGCTGCGACGATGCATGCAGCGTTCCACATCCATAGCCCACCACCTCTGCAGGGGAGGAGGGAGGGGCATTTTCTCATCCTTCCTTTGGGGCCCGCCCCATCATCATAACTGCACAATATTCACTCTCCTGGCGTTAAGTTGCTGTTGACCTTTGCATGTAATCCTGGCGCTGTTTCCCTGGGCCTGCTTTCTCCCTCTGCATCAGCTCACAGACGTCTTCCAGGGCTTCTCTGTTCAGCATTTCTTACACACGCTGACAGCCCACCATGCTCATGAAGCCCGAGTGATGGGCATCTACTCTATCGCCAGCTCTTTGCTGCTACAAAACCGTGCTGCTATCAGTGGTGGGGCATAGGAGCCTTGGGGCATCAGCCTAGCAACGGGATCTCTGAGTCATTCCAAACCACTTTCCAGAATGGCTGGATCAGACCACAGCTTCAGCAGTGGCACACGGGGGTGTCGCAGACACTCCAGGATAATTTCTACTCGTTAGAATACTACCTCAACACCAACCAGCTCCCCTTTCCTATCGCGGTTCCAGGTAATTTAGAAAACTTCCCCGTCCCCATCCTCCCCCACCTCCTGACTGATGGTCAGAGTAGAAATCCTATCACCTACTTTGGGGAAACCTTCTTTTCGTTAAAACTAGGGGTCAAAATTGGAGGAAAAATCTTTGCATCACATAATTTTTCATCAGATATACAAAACCAAGAGTCATTCCCAGTAGACAAAAGGTCAAAAGATATGAACAGTTCTCAAAAGAAGAATTGCAAACTATTAACAGCCATAGGAAAGATGTTAAATGATGAATCGTAATACCTAGGACTTTTACACATCTTAAGGTTTGCAAGGAGGCAGCTACGGTGGCCCAGTGTAGAGCGACAGACCTGGAGTCACGAAGACCTGAGTTCAAATCTGGCCTCAGACACTTACTAGCTGGGTGACCTTGGGCAAGTCACTTAACCTCTGGGAAAAGTGACTAAAATGTCCATACCCTTTGACTCCCAGATTCTGCTGCTGGGCAAACATCCCAAGGAGACCAAAAAGAAAGCCCACACACCCGTTGAAGTATCCACAACAGCCCTTTTTGTCGGGGCAAAGAACTGGGGAGAAAGTCATTGCCCACTATCAGGATAAGTGGATGTGATAGGCTATTGCTCTGTAAGAAAAGACAGGTACTTGTGGGAAGACAGAGAGGAAGCATGTGGCACCAGGTAAACTATTTACTCCAAGTCCCAGAGGAACAAAACAGTCAGCACTGATCGCCACAGAAATCTAATGCATGACCACCAAGCTTGACCCCCAAAGAGGAGAAAAGGCTCCTCCCTCCTTGCCTGGGGTTAGGGTGGGGGGTGGGGGGCTATGGGTACAGAATGTTGTATACACTGCCAGGCAGACACATTAACTGGTTTTGCTGAATTATTTTTCTCTTTTTAAATCTTTTTTTTTTAAGCATTGATTCTCTGGGGAGGAGCTGAGGAGGGATATAGTCAGAAATGAATAGGATACGATAAAGGGCATCAATAGAAAAAATGAGGCAATCTCTCCCTGTCTCAGACAGCCTAGTGCTCAGTCCTGGGGAGGCGGGGTATTGCACAACCGCCTCATTTACGAGGAAGAAACTGAGGTCCGCTGTCCTCAATCCTCAGTTCCCAGAATTCCTGGGGAAGCGGGAGCCAGACCATGTCCTTTGGGCTGAGGAGGCTCTCCTGCTACTCTAGGGCCCCAGGCTTACCCAGCACAGCCTCTGACTCACAAAACTGCGAGGCAGGTGACACAAACGTGACTGGTCTGGCCTCACTTTACGGAGGCGCAAACGGGGCTCAGCACCCCCACAGCTGGTCAGAGGTGAGGCTGGCACCTGGGCCTTTGCCTCCACGATGCTCTGTGACAGACACAGGGCCCCATCTGTCATCAGGTCACAAATTATCAGCCTCTGATGAAGAGACTGAGCAGACTGTCCTCGCGGCGTCCAGGACTGTCTGAGAGACTTGTCCCCCTGCCCACAGCCCCCAAAACTGAGAGTGGGAGGGGAGCTCAGAGGCCAGCCCTTGGCACGTGCTCCCAGCCCCAAGGTAGGCCCAGCCAAACCTTCGCTCACTGCTCCCACACAACTGCCCACACATGCTCAGAAGCAGCTCTCATGTCCTCTCTGAGTCAGGATAAACAGGTCCTGTTCCTTTACCTCAGCCTCCTACAGGAAGCAATGTGGGGCAATGGGAAGAACCCTAGAGCCACAGCAAGCAGATTCAAATTCAGCCTCTGATCTTTACTACCTGTGTGACCCTGGGCAAGTCATTCACTCCCCTGAGCCCCAGTTTCTCCCTCTATAAAATGAGGTGGCAGGGCCAGATGATTCTTACAAAATCCAACACACACACACACACACACAACTGTCATGGCATTCCAGGCCTTTCACCACCCTGGTTGTCCTCCTCTGGACATTCTCTAACTTATCAACGTCCATCTTAAACCTTGGTGCCCAGAACTGAACACAACGTCACTTCAGAAGAAGGCAGAGGAGAGTAGGAGGGTAACTCTCCCCTCCCTACACCTGGAAACTGGATCCCAAGGTCTCATTACCTGTTTTGGCTGCTGCATCACAACTGCAGACCTGTATTGAGTTTGTGTTCCACTAAGATCTTTCTCAGAACATCTGCTGTCTATCCAGACCACCCCCATCTTACACTTGCGAAGCTGATCTTTTGTACCCAAGTACAAGATTTGATGCTTGGATTCCCCTTTGACGACCTGGGCCTCCCTTTGGGTGGGTGATCCAATCTCTTGTTCCGGGTTCCTGCCCTACCTGTTCCTGACACGTTTGCACGGGGGAAAGGGAAGGGAAGGTCTCTCCTTGTGAAGAGGGCAGCTCTACCATTTCCCTTCCCCCCTCGCCTCTCCCATCAGCTGAGCCCCTTTGGATTTAAGGGAAGGGTCCCGGCAGCTTTCTGCTTGGCCTCCCCATGGTGGCTCCTCATGAGAAAAGCCCCCTTGGGATGCTCAGCCTGTCATCTTTGCCTTGGGGCGTGTCTGCCTGCCCCGGGGGCTTCCTAATCAACGCGTGGGACCTCGTGTCTCCGGGGAATCCTGGGTCCTCTAGGATAAAGCTGAACTCCTGTGAAGGGTGGGTGCTCCCCCCATCCCACACCATGCCTGCCTTTTCTCTCCAATGGCTGATCTCGCCCCAGGGTCAGGGGCTCTAAGCTGGCGCCCAGGCAGGTCCCTGGCAGTCCCCCATGGGGTCACCCTCTGGCCTCGGGTCTGCTAGCTCTCCGACAAGCTCCTTGAGGACAGCCTTCCTTTTCGGACCTGTCCTGGTCTGTGAAGAAGCAACTGGAGTATCTGACTGACCTGTGACTGCCCTCGGGGCACAGACAGTCAGGGTGGAGGGGAGGGGCCTCCAGCGCCCCGGGTCCAGCCCCTCAAGGCCCGGCTTCAGCCTCCTTGTGGCCAGAGCAAGGAGCCGGATGAAGCCCAGAAGGGCAGCCCCTCCTCGCCCACCCAAACGTCGGCCTTCAAAGCCAAGCCCCAAAGTCACTTGCAGCTGGTCAGAGGCAGTTTCCTGGTGAAGCCTAGTCCCAGGCTTACAAGGCCCCCTTCCCCGTGGTCAGGCTCTCCTTTCCCACGCACAACCCCGCTTCGGCTAGACAAGCCTTTGGGCCCATCTGTCTAAATGCCTTTCTCTTACCTGAGTTTCTGGGTTCTGATTTGCTGGTAGGGGCTTGGGGGCCGGAAGGGTCAGTGTTTGTGACCTGGGCGGGAGGCTGCCCTGCACTGGAAAGTGCCGGGGCTCTGTATTCAGGAGGAGGGGCTCCATATCCAGCGGGAAGGTGCACGTATCCAGGGACATATCCAGGAGGAGGGGGGATAAGGCCATGGGGAGGTGGTCCGTACCCAGGGGGAGGGGGTCCAAATCCAGGGAGAGGAATCCCAACCCCAGCGGCTGAGGTAGTGGCCATCTGATACCCTAGACAACAGAGGAGAAACAACGCGTTACGTGCGACTCACATGGCGCCCAGCACCGTGCTGGCTTGGGGGAGACCCCCACCCAGCCCTCTGGGACCTGCCAACCTCATCGCCCAAACACCAGTATCCAAAGGGACACAGGTGCTAAGTACCCAAGAGGGGGGCAAGCCTACTGACTCAGCAGAATCAGGGGATGCGTCACAGAGGATGCGTGCTAAAAGGTGGCAGGGAGGCCGGCTGAAGCTGGGGACAGAAGAGAGATGGGGTTTCAGGCACACGCAACGGAGTAGGAAAAGGCGAGGAGGTGGGAAAACAGGGAGGGTACTAAGGGCTAAGGCAGCAGCAGGCTGGCTGGGCCCAGCCTGGGGGGAGGGGGACAGAGCAGACATATCTGGAAAAGGGGCCCAGAACATGGCCCTTTACTCAGCAGGTAGTGGGGCTTCACTGCAGGCTTTGGAGCAGACAAGGGCTCTGAGGGTGGCCAGATCTCTGCAGAAGCGAGAGGCGGGGGGCTTGGAGGGACGGAGCGGCAGTGGGGAGGGACTCTTCCACGATAAATATCACCCAGGCAGGAGGTAAAGAAGCTGTGGACACGGGTGGGGAGGGATGCGAGGTGTGGCACGGCCGTATTCGAGGGACTGACCCCGAGGGGTCCAGGATCAGAGAACACCAGGGCCCTCGTCCAGCCTCCTCCTGCTACAGGGGCTGGGGCTGGGGAGGGGGGCCTGCCACTGGGCACACAGGTAGCAAGAGGGAAAGCCAGGATATGAACCCAAACCCACGCTCCCCATTCCTCCTCCTGCCCCGTTCCCCCCACCCTCAGCCCCTGAATTTCCCAAATGGCTCAGCCTGTACCCCGCCTATGGACCTGTCATGTCCGCTATTGGGATGAGAGTTATTTGGGGGGTGTCCTAGAGGACCACAGGCTTCCGAGGATGGTGTGGAACAGACAGGTCCCAGGTTCACAGGGGAGGGCCCGTGCACAGCAGGGAGGCCAGAAGGAAGGGCAGGTTGGGGGGAGGGCAGGGAAGGAGCTCAGCTTTTGACATGTGGCATCTGAGATGCTGGTGGGCTGAGGGGCCCTCAGAGATGAGGCCCAAGTGAGCTCATCACTGGGATGCATGACAGAAAGGAGGAGCCTGCATCTCTGTCTGCAAACCCCAGCCCCTTCCGGAGCGGCCAGCCCATACTGGCACAGGAACACGGACCATGGAGTGGCATGACCATGGAGAGACGCTTGTCCTGGAGGGTCGAGGGGGATGCACAGCAGAGATGGAATGGATGAGGGGACCCCCTCGCCTAATGGCTGGGCTCCTTCCCTGGAGAAACCGCAGCCTCCCCACCACCTGCCCTGGCCCAGGCTGCACCTCACCTGGGGGGGTTGGCATGTAGGGGGAGTTGTTGGGCATCACATAGATGAGCTGGGTGGCGCCCAACGGGACCCTTGGTAGGTTCGCGGCAAAGAAAATGCTGGCCTCGGGGCTGAAGCCAAAAAACGTCACTGGTGGTGGGAGCCCTTCAGCAGCTGAAAAGAAAGGGGAGGGGGTCCAAGGGAAGCTCACGGCGGGGCCACGGCCCCCATTATCCCACCGTCAAGGATTTATCAGGCCTTTGGATGCCTCCGAACGCCTCGGATGGTGCCACTCACCATTGGAGGCGCATAACATCATCAGCCGGCCAAACTCAATGGCGCCTCCGCTCCGGAAGGTCAGTCTGAAGGTGGCCTCTCCTTCCCAGCCCCCTGGTGGGTGAAAGAGCACAGACCTGATGGGCTTGGCATCATGGACATGCAGGGGAGGGCAAGGGGCTGACCCAGGACCTTGGACAGCATGTGGGGAGGGGGAAGGACACAGGGGCACAGGGTGGCGCATGGGGAGGGGGCCAGGCTGCCCTGGGACCCCGGGTGGCACATGGCTTGGGCTCAGGGATGCCCACTGGGACCCGAGGCTGCACCCCACCTGGGCTCACGTGCCAAGGGTGGTACCCACCATCCGGTGCAGCGGAGATGATTCCTTTCAAGTAGTTAGCGCCAAAGGTGGGCTGCTCGACTGAGCAGTCCCTCATGAGATTGAAGGGAACCATGAAGGACACGACGGAGTCCTTGGTAGGGTAAGAGGCCACAAAGATCACCTAGGAGGCGGGTGCGAGGCGGGCAGGAAGGAAGGAGAGGGAAGGTTGGGTAAGAAACAGTGCCTGGGACCATGAGACTGAGGAGGAGAGGACAAAGCTGCTTCTGCCAGCAGCCAAGCTGGGAGCTAGCAGCAGACGTGTCTCTACCGCCGCCCCACGTGGACACTTACGTAGGCAGGTGGCTCCCCCCTCCAAGGGCCCCACACCTTGCCAGGAGCCAGGAGGGCTCAGGGTCAGAGGTGAGACTCGAACCCACAAGCCCCTGGCTCTCGGCATCCGAAGCCCCATCTGGAAAACGGGAATCCAATCCGTCGGCCTCAGGAGCCGGTCCCAAGGAAGGGGACACTGGATGGACCCCGGTGACAGCCCTCCTACCTACCACGGCGGGCAGCCCCACGGGAGGCTCAGAGATGCCCAAGGACAAGGCCCCGAGCTGAGGGCTCCATTACCCGGTACGGAGTGAGGTACAGCTTCCCCTTCTTGGGGTTCTTGAAGAGGGGGGACGGCTGAGACATGTTGGAGAAGGAGAGTTCCACATTTTCACAGCGCATCAGAAGACTGCAGGGAGAGGAGGAAGTCAGAGGGCGCAAGGTCATCTGTGCTGCCCTCCCTGTGGGCTCACCGCCCTCTTTCTCTTGTCAGTTTAACCGCACACCCTATTGTTTCTAGCCCCCCAAGGCTTCATCAACAAATGCTCATTGCCCTGTGGCAGATAGCGACCCATCCTTGCCTGTGTCTGTGATCTCCCACTGCAGAAGCTGCCCCCCACGGACCCAGCGGCGCCCACAGGCACTGGGGCTGCCTGGCTGTTATCACCCACCCCCACTACGGGACCAATCACATGCAGCCCGAACGCTTCTCCATCCCTCGCTGGCACCTTGTGCCCACCCTACACACTGCTACCCCAACGACGGCCGTGAGGAGAATTTGAGAAAGGACCAGGCACGCTTCTGCAAACAACCCTCTACTGCAGACCAGTCACCAGAGTGACGGAAAGTTGCCAAGGAGGCCAGATGAGACAGTCAACACGCATTTATTAAGCACCTACTATGCTCCAGGCACCAAGACACAAAGAAAGGCAAAAGACCACCCCTGCCCCCGGGCGGCTGACAGTCTAATGGGTGTAATTCCAGCCAGGTCCCTGACTCCCAATCCAGCGCCTTTCCCCCAGAACACGCTGAAGCCCCCTCCCAGTGCTCCTGCCGCCAGAAGATGCCTGAGTTAAGGACATCACACCGTCAGACATAACAGAGAACCACGATTACTCAAAACAGAGCAGTCCGACAATCTGGCAAAGGAATGAAGAACGCCCGGTGGCCAGACCGCCCAGTGAACGCCCTGGCACCTGTGTGTGGGACAGGACGTGGGAGAACAACGGGAGGGGCCCACGACCAGAGAGGGAGGAGGAAGCCAAAGAAACTGCGCGTGGGGAATCCACAGGGCCGAAGATGCAGAGGTGTCAGGAGACAAGAAATGCTGGGTCAGGGTTTCTTCTGTGATTTTCTGGCTGGGTGGTGCAGTGGAGAGAGCCCAGTGCCTGAAGTCAGGAAGACCCGAGTTCAAATCCTGCCTCAGACACTTCCTAGCTGTGTGACCTTGGGCAAGTCACTTCACCCTGTTTGCCTCAGTTTCCTCATCTGTAAAATGAGCCGGAGAAGGAAACGGCCAACCCCTCCAGTATCTCTGCCGAGAAAACCCCAGATGAGGTCTCGGAGACTCGGGCACGACTGGAACGACTGAACGAGAAGAGCAGAAAGCACTGAAGGGGGTATTTCTTCACGCGGAGACCAGGGAAGACCACGTATGTCCATTTCCCAGGCTTGGCTATGGTCCGATGGCCCGATCTTCTGGAAAGCAAACAGGGCAGCTGACTCTCGAGACTAGAAACGGCGAGCTTCGCTTGGGTTCTGGGCACAATTCTAGACGTTGCTATTAAAAAGAGCGTCTGTGAGCCGCGAGAAAAGGAGCCGACCTGGAAGGGGGAGCCTGCGTGAGTTGGGGGTGTTCAGATAATCCCGTTTCCTTCTGTAATCGGGCCACGGGGCTGGGTTATCGCCGAATGTGGTCATCTCCGTCTATGCCTGATTTCTAAGCCAATATTGGGCAAAGTTTCTCTCGTGATCCTTCTGAATACAGGAGAGATGGGAGTATAATTGGGTCATTCCAGCATAAGGGGGACCGGTAGGTCCAAAGAGGGGTGATTAATGACAGAGGTCTCTGTTGGAGGGCCCCAAGGATCTGCCCCTGGCCCTGAGCTGTTCAACACAGTTATTATTGGTGAGTAAGCTAAAAGCATAAATGACCTGTTTTAAAAACCAGATTTTCAGGTCACGCACACCTGGAAGAGATAACTAACACAGCAGATCACATAGCACCTGGCACACAGTCGGTGCTTAATAAAAATGCTCGCTGCCTGACTGAGCAATTTGAAGACAGAATTAGCAGCCAAAAGGCACTCAATAGGTGGGATGACTCTAATAATATGAAAGTTAATAAGGATAAATGTAAAATCCCACACTGGGGCTTTGAAAAACAGTCCTCCACCAAGCAGAGAAAAGAGAAGCCTGGGTAGACTATAGGTCCTGTGAAAAAGATCTCGGAGTCTCAGTGGACTGCAAGATAGTAAGATATGAACAGCCACAGAGCGCCCAAATCTCATGCCACCTTAGGCTCAGGGGCAGTGTGGCAAAGCAGATTAAGAGCGGGCCCTGGATTCCGCAGGACCAGGCTTCAAGCCCCTCTTAGGGCCCCCGGCGCCCTTCTGAGAACAGATGATACAGAAGAGTTCCTGGCCTGGGGGATGTTCCTTATCTGACAGTCCCCTTGGGCTGTGCTCAGGACCACACCAGTGGATCCAGAACGAGAAAGGGGACCGTGTCACTGCCCATGCCGGGGCTCCATGCTCAGTTCTGGGGGCTGGGAAGGCGCCGACCAGCCAGGGAGAGACCGGAGGAGAGGCAGTAAAGGCCGAGAATCCTGTCGGAAGATGTGCGAGCTGTCACTGAGGGCCTGAGGGAGTGCTGTGGGGAAGAGGGAGGGGCCCAGACTGTTAGCCACAAAGAGGGGCAGGGATGGCGGCTCCGGAGTCTGGAGAACCCTGCCGGTGATCAAACACACCCCAAATGGGCGGTGGCACAGGGCCCATCCCCGGCGGGCTCCAAGCACAGTGCGATGACCACGTGTCCCGCGTGTCAGACACGGTGCAGAGGGTCAGCAGGACCAGGGAGGCTTTGGCTGGGCCGAGATGGAGGTGAGAAGGCGTCCCGGGCAGGTGGGGTGGAGCCAGCCTCCGGCTCGACCTTTGTAAGGCTTTGTGAGATGTGGGTAAGGGAATGCTGAAAGAGGGGGCCCTAGATCAGGAGTGGGAAGGGAGGAAACTGAGGCGGCTCAAGGAGGGGAAGGTCACACAGCTAGTCAGAAGCAGAGCTGGGATTCGAACCCAGGTCTTCTGACTCTCGGTCCAGAGCTCTCTCCACTCCAGCAAGGGTTAGAACTGGCCCATCCTGGCTGCATGACCCTGGGTAAGTCCTTAGCCTCTCGGTTCTCCGGGGTGCAGAAGAGGGGCTGACCCGCGCTGGGAGAGTTTCCTCACTTGGAAAGGGCCAGTCCCCCTTCCCAGCTAAGGGGTTTAGACTTTACCCTGCAGGCAGCAGCGGGATGTGGTCAAAGCTGGATGCTAAGGAGAGTCACCACCTTCTGTGTGCACCTACTGTGTGCCAGTCCCTACAGACTCCAAAATAAACTGACGTGAAGTCGTTCTTGCCCTCAAGGAGCTTACACTCTAGTAGGGAAAGGAGCACGACAACATGACCAGGTACATACAAGAGAGAATAAGGAACAACGAGTGCGCTGCTATGGCGGGACCTGCCCAAGCTAGCGCCTGGGTGGTCGGAACGCAGGGAGAACGGATGGAAGGGGGGCACGCCCGTGGGAGGGAGGCCAGCTACCAGGGGCTGGTGTCTCAGAGGGTTGCCCAGAGCACGAGGGGGGAGGCCCTCACTCAGGATCACACAGCCAGGATGGGTCAGAGGTGGGATCTGAACCCAGAACTTCCAGGCTGCAAACTGAGCTTAGAACTCAGTCGGGAAGAGGGGAGCACCCACTGGGCGGCCAGAATAGGAGAGGGAGCTTCCTGGTAGGGCCCAGGCTTAGAAACCTCCTTCCTGGTCATCCACAATCCCTCTGGGATGATCTCCCTTGTTCATACAGAGATGTCTGCGACTAACTCCTCCAGAGGATGTGTGAGCTTCTTACAAGCAGGACTGTTTGTGTCCCTGGAGCTTAGTGTCCTAGACAGTCCTTGGTACATAGCACGTGCTTAACAAGTGCTTACTGACCGACTAAGGGACAGTCAGTTTTAAGCACCCACTGGGCAGTTGGAGATGCTTAACAGGAGCTAGGGGGAGAGACCAGGGCTGAGCCACCTGCAGGGAGGTAATCATTAAGCTCATGAGTGAGATAAACAGAGAAAAGAGAAGGGTGTCTAGGACAACGCCTTAGGGAACGCCCCAAGCAGGGGCAGAGAGGTCAAGAAGGCCGAGGCCGAGAGAAGACGGCTGATGAGGCCGCAGTTAGGGGACTGCTGGTCACTTTGGACAGAGAAGTTTCAGTTGAGTGATGAGGTTGGAAACCGGCCTCCAGAAGAGGAGAAAGAGGGAGTCGGGGCAACCAGGCGCCTCTGGGGCGCCACATTTCCAAGGGGCCTCAGCCTTATCACTACAGCACGGGTTTGTCAGCTTGGATTTTTCTTTTTTCTTTTGCTGTTTTATAGCTGAGGGTAAGGAGGAGACCAAGACTGACAGTGAGTCACAGGGCTTCTCCCCGGCATTTGCCTAAGACAGGAAGAGGACACAGGAAGGCGAGGCCAGGGACCTGCCCAGACCAGCGAGTGGTGTGTCCCTCCCCCAGAGGTGGGATGACAACAGCCACCTCATCACGGCCCCTTCCAGGTCAGGCTGGCGGGCACTCCATCCACACTGGGCCTGGCTCCACCTGAGCGTGTCCTTTTAGAACCTCTTTGAGGCCACTAGCAAATGGTCCCAGAGGGGGCCTAAAACAGGCAGCGCCCATCCAAAGGGAGTAATTCCCTCCCTCTCGCCGCCAAGAGCAGGAACATTCCACCCTGAGGTCACGTGCGGGGGAAAGAACACTGAATCTGGGGTCTCGAGAGCTTGGTTTGCGTCACAGCACCTTGTTTCAATGGCCACAAGACTGTGGGCAAGTCATTTCCCTCTTTAGCCTCGGTGTCCTCATCTGTAAAATAGGCATTGTGGTACTTATTTCACAGACTTGCTGGGAGGGAAACACTCAGAAGTAACCCACGCAGCCCCAAATCCATGTGAGCCTTCACCTCCATGGGAGCTAAATCTGGAAGCTGATGTCACAAGGCTAAAGGGGGATGAACTTTCAAAGCTGGAGTCTTAGAGCCATTTTTTCCCCCGAGACAGCTCCATTGTTAAGAAGGTCTTAATGTGGAGCTAGAGTCTTTTCCTTTTTAAATCTGCCCAGTTCTCCTCCCCAGGCCCAGGCAGATCAAAGCTAATCCCTCTTCCACATGATGGATGACTTTAAAATGAAACAAAATAAACCCAGGCCAGCAGGGCCCTGCCCTGGTGAGTGGGCACCAAGGCACCATCTTGGGAAGGATTTCCAGCAGGACAGAGGGCAGCCCAACAGGGCAGGGGGGTGCCCAAGGTGGGGAGACATGAGAGATTAAACCAGTGCCCAAATATGACCCGAAACAGAGCATCGCAAGTGAAAATGTCACGTGGATGGGTCATCATCTTTCTGGGAAATTCAGTCAAAGTGACTTGGGTATGGATGTGATGGCCAAAGCACAGATAGCACTGGGGTCTGAGGCCTCGCTGCACAAATGAATGAAGGCGTGAATGAGTGAATGAAAAGATGAACAGTTACCCTGGGCCAAGCATGGCCCCAAGCCAAGAGCTGGGGATGCAACCAGGAAAAGATGGCGGTCCCTAAGCTCCCGGTTCTAACTGGAGGAGACAACCACTCCATCAAGGGTCTGGGCCAGGCACCAGGCTAAGCTGGAAAAGAGGGAGAAGAATCCACCCCCTTTGGCAGCTGTTGAAGCACCTTCCTTCACAATGGCTAAATTCAGCTCCCCTCCCACTTTCCCCACAGGAATTCTCTCTTTCCATCTCTCCTTAGCCCCAATTAGAGGGTCATCTTCTCCACCTTGTGCCTCTGGGGCGCCACATTTCCAAGGGGCCTCAGCCTTATCACTACAGCACGGGTTTGTCAGCTTGGATTTTTCTTTTTTCTTTTGCTGTTTTATAGCTGAGGGTAAGGAGGAGACCAAGACTGACAAGGTCAGTCTTCAGTGAGTCACAGATTTTTATTAACTGGAGGCTTATCTCTGTGGCCAAGGGCCTTGAGCAATACCAAGAAGAGACCTGGCCCTGTGTCCTCTTGAGGTCAACTCCTCTCCTGCTAATAAGGCTAATCCCTCTTCCATATGACTAGAACAAAAAAAACCAACTTGGCTTGGTAGAGCCCTGCTCTGGGGAGCAGACACCAGGCACCATCTTGGAAAGGATTTCACAGCAGGACAGAGAGGGCAGAGGGTGGGAGACAAAACCGGTGCCCAAATACGACCCCAAACAGAGCATCACAAGTGAAAATGGCCAGGCTTCATCACCTGACAACGTCCTACTGGAGCTATCTGGGAAATTCTGTCCGAGTGGCTTGGGTATGGACGGGATGCTCAAAGTACAAATAGCACTGAGGTCTGATGGCCTCACTGCATGAAGGAGTGAATGATAACTAACAATAACTAATAATAACTAACAGTTATCAATATTTTTACTCGAGTCCTTGGGGCAAGGATTGCACCTCCTCCAGTGCGGGTGCCTTGCACTGTTCACGGTACCCCAGAATCTTACAGCAGGCAGGGATCTCCGAGGCCATGCAGGACAGCCCAACCCGCCCAGGAATCCCCTCTCCGCCAGCCTGACAAGGGGACTTAAAGACCTCCTCCCATTCCACTCTGGGATGGTTCCGACTGATGGATGCACACAGCAGGCATTTAATAAATGCCTTTTGGATTTAATTAAGTATTATAGCAAATGACTAGAGCAAAGCACCTCACGCCTAGTCTGGCTAAATGACCTCACAGTCTGTGTCAGTGGGAAAGAAGTTTCTGCAGTCCACTCGTAAATCTGAATCGCCCAAGAATAAAGAAAAAACCCAGCAAAGCAGCACCCATTGATGGTGGCCCCCTCAGGCACCAAGGCCTTGCCTGTACACAAGAGGGGTGGCTAGTCTCGGGTCCCTTTGGGAGGCTGCCCTGCCAGGTAGGGTCTTGGGAGGCTCAGGCCTCAGCACTGCCTTCCAAAGCGCTCAGCTGTTCTTTCTCCAAACAAATGTGGCAGACCCAAGCCACAAAGGCTGTACCAGAAGTGCGGAGATCAGAAGGAGTGTGGCCACCACTCTTAGGACATTATGATGTCATCCTGAACTGTTCTTAGGAATCATTTACTGAGGGAGGTCGGCTCAGGTATCCTCCTTCCAGGTGCTGTTATCATCCCCAGGGTATAGATGTGGAGATGCAGGCTGAGTGTGGTTAAGTGGCAGGCAGAGCTGGGACGTGCCTGAGGCAGGATCTGAGCTGGGGTCTTCCTGACCAAGCCGGAGTCCCTGCCCCTCCATCTAGCTGCTGGCGCTATCTCCACCCTGCTTGCAGCTCAAGGTAGGCACATAACTGAGTCACCAAAGGCACCCGGGCCCCATCTGGGGAAGCCCAAGTTAATGAAGAGAAGGGGTAGCTGAGGAGAAGACAAAAGCCAAGCGGAGCTGGTGTCATGGGAGCTGTGGGAAGAGGAGGATGGGGTGGGGGAGTCTCGCCAAGTGTGTGAGAGGCTCACAAGCCGAAGAGGCCAGCTGAGGACAGAGGGCAGAACCAGGAGCTAAGGGCCATTGCTTGTGGTCAGTCTGGGAACTCTGCCTAATGATTCCAAACCCTCCACAGAGGTCTTCAGGTGAAGGATGTTGGAGACAGGGCATTATTTTTGCGGAGATACTCCCAAATCTAGTTAGACCTCCCCAGAGGTTAAGTGACTTGTTCAGGGTCACACAGCTAGTAGGTGACTAAGGTTGAGGTTTGACTAAGCTAAGTTTTAGTTTTTTTAGTGTGATGAATATAACGAATGTCCTTTATGATGGAACATTCAATAAATGTTCACCTTTAAGTAACCAAATCCCCAGGAGGTAGATGAGCCAAAATAATAATAAAAAGGGGACAATGGGAGGGCCATGATTCGAGCCAGTTTGGAGATGGCTGGTCCTTCCAGATGCCACTCAGGTGGCATATATGACTGTAGCTGCAAATCCCCCAGTGAATTTCTAAAACACCTTGTTGATTTTTCATTCACCTTAGCCAACACATGTACAAGTGACACACAGGGCTGGCAGTGTGTCAGTGTCCTCAGCCTATGGTGAAAGGCAAAGGCAGGCTTTCCATTTTTGTGTCTGGTCTTCTTCCTTCCTGATTCTCCTGGGTCTACACAAAGCTTCTAAGACTCTTAACCCCTCTCTGCTCCCGACAGAAGTCACAGTGTCCTGGTTCTCCCCCTCCCCTTGTTCTGTCCTGAGCCCTTCTTGTCTTCTGTCTCTTGGTGATCTCATTCAACAACCAGCCAGCAAGCACTTTGTGTACCAGGAACTCGCTGTGCTAAGTTCTGGGGATGTAAGGAAAAGCCAAAACGGGGTCTCCTGCCCTCAAGGAGCTCACAGTCTAATGAGGAGCCATATTAATCCCTAGGTCCGTATATGGAAAGGCACTCTGAGAAAGAAAGGCCCCAGGGGCTGGTGGGATGGGGAAAGCCAGGGAAACTGAGAGAGGCAAAGACAGACATTCCAGCTCTGACCTCTTGAGCTCCGGATGCCAAGGGGACACTGGTTCCGGCTCATCTCTCCCCTCACCCTGATCTCAGTGCTTCTCCCTCCATCATTCCTAGGACTGTAACCCTGAGCTTCTCTTGGATCCCCTCTCCTCACTCACTCTTCATACCCAGCCATCCCCTGCTGACCTCCACAATCTGGAGTTACCCTGCTTTGCAGGACCCCCTTTGTATGTAGCCCAGGGCTTTGTGGGGACAAAATGAGATGGTCCCTAAGTGCTTTGCAAACGTTAAAGCACTACAGAAATGTTATCACTGTTGTCGTTGCTATTATTATTATCATTACTATTATTATTATTGGGGCTTACAGCTGTTCCCCAAGTGTCCCAAGTGCACCCTCCAGCACACCCCTCCTTCTTGTATCCTTTCGCATCCTTCAAAAAAGCCCTCCTCAAATGATGCCTCCTCCAGGAAGCTCTCCTTGATGTCTTGGATCAGTAACAACTGCCACCCCCCCCTTCCCATAACCCTTGATTTAGTCTCCAACTCCTCTCTTTTGGAGCATGCCCAGCACGTGATTAGCACGGAGCCTGGTGCACAGTGAGGGCTTAATAAAGGCTTGCTGAGTGACAACTGACTCAGCTCTTCCCCTCCCCACCAGAGGGGGCGCTCGCGTTCTCCCCCGCCTCTCCAGAATGCTTCCCCTTCCCGTCCCCACCAGAGGGGGCGCGCGGTCCGTGCTCCTCTCCATGGGCGGAAGAGGTGTGGCCTGCCGCGTTGACGCGCCTGTGAGGGGCGGGCTCAGAAGCTGTTCTTCCCTCCCTACAGGCCCTGCCTCCCCCCCCCCCCCCGTTCCCTCACTCTCGTTCGCTCGCTCCCGCCCCGCACCTCTCGCCTGGCGGGATGATGGCGCAGCCGCGTAGTTCTTCTATGTGGTGCTGGTTCACCGCCATCTTTGCCCTTCCGGGGCGGGCCGACCCTGGCCAGGGACCGGGGAGAGAGGAGGGAAGGGGGGAAGGGGAGGGGGGAAGGGGGCGGAGTCTGCTCCGCGAGGGGCAGGGTTCGCGGGGCCGCAGAGATTATGGCGCAGGCGCGGGGAGAGAGCGAGAAAGCGATAGGGCGAGGCTGCTCCGTCACGTGGGTCTTCTAGGCGGAGTCTGATCCGGACACGCCCCCTGGGTGGGGAAAGGGACTGGCCGAGAGAGACAATGCAAATGATGGGGAGGGAGGGAGAGCGAATGCGACCTTTCCTGGGCCCCGCCCCTCGCTGTTTGTGCGAGATGAAGGTTTAACCTCAGGGCCGGCTGACTGTCGAGTTGTGGGTTCGAATTCATCTCTGGCTGTGTGACCTCGGAAAAACCTGGCAGCCTCTCTGGACTCCAGAGCCCTTATCTGTAAAATGGGACTAATAATACCCTTCCTAATCCCCCTCAATGATAGGGCCTTCTCTCCGAGACTGTTTATCCTGTACAAAGGTACACACTGGTTGTCTCCCCCATTAGACTGTGAGCCCCTTGAGGGCAGGGACTACCACAATGCCTGGCACACAGTAGGCCCATAATGAATGCTTATTCCCTTCTCAGCCCCCCCCTTCCTTTCCAGAGGGTTGGGGTAAGGTGGCCTTGGATTCAAAAAGCTCTGGGTTCAAATCCCAGCTCAGATACTTTGTAGCTCAGTAATCCCTTAAAGTCCTTTCACTCATTGCCTCAGTTTCCTCCTCTGTAAAATGAGGGGCTTGAATTCGATGGCCTCAGGTCTCTTCCAGCTGCAGATCTGTGGCTTTGTGATAGGATAAAGAACCTATGGTAATTAGAACGAAATCCACTCACTCTCCAGCTGAGTGGATCCTGGCAAGTCACTGCACCCCTGCCCGACTGATTCAACAGCTGTAAAGCAGGGATCCTAGCGTCTTCTTCCCAGGGGTGTGGCGAGGATCAGATGAGATCGTATTGGTAAAGCACCTGGTACGCAGTAGGTGTCACATAAATGCTTGTTACTATTAAAACATCTCTATCCAGATTAGCTATTATTAAATATGTAAAATGCTTGGCTCAATTTGCATAATTTTCCATGTTTGTGTTGGGTCATTCCCTCCTCTCTCATCCAGAAACAGCTTGGACAGTAGATTAACATAAAATTAAATTGTGAGATTTGTGCCTAGAATGTGGCGTATGGTATTAATATTTCCTTTTCAACAGGAAGCGCATAAAGACTTGCCTTTGGGAATAGAAATGAAAATTCACTAGTGCAAGATGGGGGAGGCCTTGATTAGAGGTGGTGGTTCTGAAAACGATCTGGGAGTTCCAGTGGACCCCAGGTGCCTTTGGGGTCAGCAGCAGTTGTGATTTGGCAGCCAGAAGAGCTGATGGGGGGCTGCATGATGAGGGGTCAAGCTGGAGGAAGAAGGAGGTGAGAGCGTCCCTGTCCTCTGCCCTCAGGGGACCTCACTGTGAATGCTGCACAGGATTCTGGGCATGGGGTTGGGGAAGGACCTTAAGAACACCGAGAGTGTCCAGAGGGGAATGACCAAGCTGGCTCGAGACCTGGCGTCGGTTGGCGCCATTTGGGAATTGGCCAGAGAAGCTGGCGATGCTTACTGTGGACGAGAGAAGTGTGGGAGGCACGTGACAATCCCTGCCTTGGCCCTGAGAGCAGAAGCAGAACAAGCTGAAAAGAAGCAGATTTAGGCTTCCTTCATGTTAGGGCTTTGAGCTGTCCCGGTGTGGAACGGTGTCCTTCGAGGTGGTGGACCCCTCCTTCGGGGTCTCCCGGCAAGATCTGTAGGGGGAGGGGTCAGAGGAGGCAGTCCCTAAGTCCCCTCCAGCTCTCCAGTTCTCTCCTGGGAAGTGACTTGCCCAAGGTGTGCAGGTGGTCAATGGCAGCGTCTGACAGTCTCAGACTCCAGGTTCAAGGCTTTCTGGTCACCGCACCAGACTGCAGGAGCCACCATCTTACCAGGAAGGCCCAGACTCAAGGCAAAGGCAGAGCTAGTGCTCGAGGCCTTTCCCTCACTCCAACACAGCCTGGACCTATGGGACCCTGCCCTGCTCCACCCAAGGTCGACGCAGGCATTTCCTGTCTGTCTAGCACCAAGGACAGGGCCATCATCTGCCCTTCTGCCACTGGCCAGTCCTGGTCCAAGAACCACATCTCAAAGCTGCTCACCCCTTCATCAACCAGGGCCAAGGACCCCTCTTACGGACCGGGCTCTGGGGATGCCAACATAGGCCCATTTTCAAGGACCTTACAATCTCGTACAAAGACAGTTGCAAAGGCCGTCCTCCACACTTTTGACTCACAGGGTGCCTGGCCTTCCTTCAGGGTTCAGCTGACCTGGCCCCTTTGCCTGTCACTGCTAGCCCTCCCCTAGTACTTTGTGCTCACTTCTCTGGGCCGGTACAGGGCTCCTGGACCCCTCTGGCAGTCTGGTGAAGCCTATGGAGCCTTTGTGGAATCAGAGAATGACAAAGAAAACCAATGATACTGAAATCATTATCGAACTATCTGGGAAAAGCCAAGGTCACAGATCTTACCAGACCCACCGTCGGGCCTAACACAGGAGAGGTGCTTAATGAATGCTTATTGAATTGGGGGGACATGAAGAGCAATTTTGCCCTCAGGAGTCTGGAGTCTGCTGGGAAGGCCTTGAATCAGTGTCTGTGGAAATGGGTTTACTTGCAGTGGATTTAAATGGCCCTTTCACGGATTTCTTTGCAAAAAACAAGGGCAGGTCAAACATTAGTAATGTACCTCTTGCTGAGGCATCTTGCCCCAGGTCTGGGGACTGTTGGGGCAAGGCTCAGAAAACACCCAGAGAAGGGGGATTCTGGGTCAAATCTGATGCCAGGTGTAGATGGGCTCTGGGAGGGATACACCATGAAGAAGCCCTGGACCTCTGGCAATTCCAACAGAGGTGAGGGGAGCGTGGAGGCCGGGGCAACGGGCAGAGGCGATGAAAATAACAAGCCAGGCCTCTTGTTCAAACAGCAAAGTCTTGTTGAATTAAACAATACATAGAAAGTTAAAGTCTACACCCGGTGTGTGTCTGGTGGCTTGTCTTGGGTCAGGGCTGTGCCTGTGGAAGGAGATTCTTCTCTCCCATCAGCGCCAGGCAGCCAGGACGGGGCAGCCGGAAGGGGGCCTGGGCTCAGGCCTCTGTGTGGGCCCCCCGGTGCTCAGCAGTCCCGGCCGTGCCCAGCTGCAGACCCAGTATGGACGGCAGCGTCAGCCGACATTCACACACAACATTCATGCATCGGACCTCAGACTGCTACAAGCCTGCAGCCTATCTGCGGCCAAGCAGATTCATTACTCACATTAACAGGGGCTCAGGGTGCGGCAAAAAGGGACGGACGACATCTCCTCTTATTGCTAAGGGACAGAGATGGGGCTGGGGAGAGCTTTATCTTAGACTTCACATCTCACGGGCTTCCTAAACTTTTTTTTTCTTTTCTTTTCTTTCTTTTTTTTTTTTTTTTTTTTGAGTTAAGGATAAAGAGAAAAATCAACTTCAGAAATGCCCTTTCGGGTCACTCGTCTCCTCCTGGACTTCTCATCAGTGGGGTGGGGAGGGGGAGGATGTTGACATGCTCTGGGCCAGCCAAGCCTGACATGCCTTCCAGTCCTGTGATGACCAAGGCGGGTGAGGTCTCCGTTGTTTCCCCCCACCCCCATGCTGGGGCTCACACCTGGATGTGACGAGCCAGAAGTGGGGCTCTCCCGGCTCCCGAGGTCCAGGAGAGCGGCCTGTGACGCCTGGTGGAGGAGGGGGCTTTGGCGCCATTTCCCCTGGAGAAGGTGATGAGTGCTTGGCTATGGGTTTGCAGAAGCTGGAGCGGGAGCAGGTGACGGGTGGATGGGCCAAGAGCTAGGCCACCAGAGGGACCTTCGCGGGGAGGCAGGATGGCGCTCACCCCCTCTCCCTCTCGCTGTGGGCAGAGTATGGCAGACGGACAGCTGGCTGGATGAGCAGAGCGCTACAGAGACCTTGTCCCTGAAGGGTGAGTGGCTGGGGTGGGGGGACAGTAGGGGGAGGAGGAGCAGCCTGGAAATGACCTTCACTCGGCGATGGTGGCGGGGCAGGGGGATGCTGGCGCTGGTGGAAGGACACCTTCTCCCTGCAGGGGGGAGGAGAGCGGGTGAGGGCTTGCGGAGCGCCCGCCTCCCTTCCCCCGTCGCTGCTGCCCCCCTCACCCGGCCCCAGCTCTCCTTCACTCTAGAGCCAGGGCCTGAGGCCTGAGGTCTGGTCACTATCAGCACCGGGGATGCAGCCCTGTCCAGGCTGAGGCCCAGCTGCTACTTTCTCTTGGCAGGAGCTTACCTGCAAGGGGGGCCTCTGGCCAGAGACCCGAGGGGAGAGGGCGAATGGGCAGCAGGGCCAGACACCCTAAGCTCTGGGTCCCACTGCTCTGGCCCACTTCCCACTGACCTGCTCAATCTAGCGTCTCCGGGCTTTATTTTTCCAAGCCCTTGAAGGAGGTGAGATTTGATGGAGGAGGTGCCTATGGAATGGACCAGGAGAAAGAGGTCACAAATACCGCTGGCCTCCTCTCCTGTGGCTCCTTCATGGTTTCGCTGCCCCCCTCCCAGTCCCAGGAACCTCAGGGGCGCAAGGGCAGAAGGGGGACCTCCCTGGGCAGCCCAAGGGACAGGGACAGGCAGAAGCCTGGGCCAGGGCCCAGAAGGACCAGGCAGGCAGGAGGGGTGTGGAAGAGACAGAACGAGAGAGGAGAGAGACAAGGGAGCCCTCAGTCTGCCCTCCGGCCTGGGCTGGGGTTCAGGAAGCACTTTCCTTGCCCCAGCCCTGGCAGGGAGGCCCGGAGGAGGGGACTGTACCCACTGTCCAGAGCAGGAGCCTGAGGCACAGAGAGGGTCACCCAGCTGTCAGAACCTGGACTTCACCTTGGTCTCCTGACTTCTAAGTCCAGAATGCTCTGTGTTATATGTGGCTGGCTCCCTACCATGCAGGCAGTGTGGAGGAGAAGGCAGTACTGGTGAAGAGATGAAAGGGTGACGGGATGGCAAGAAGGATGGAGGGGAGGAAGAGGAAGAAGGAGGGAGAGAAGGAGAAAGGGAGAGGAGAAAGAGGAGAGAGAGAGGGAGGGAGAGAAGAAGAGGGAGAGAGGAGAGAAAGAGAGAGGGAAAGAGAATGGAAGAGAGAGAGGAGAGGGAGGGGAAGAGAGAGAGAAAGGGAGAGGGAGAGAGGAGAGAGGAGAGGAGAAAGAAGGAGGGAGAGGGAGAGAGAGGAGGGAAGCAGAGAGAAATAGAGAAACAGAAGAGAAAACAAGGACGGAGGGAGAGACAGAGACAGAGGGAGGGAGAGAGAGAGAGGGAGAGAAGCAGGAGGGGACAAGAGGCCAGAGGAGGAGGTGAGCAGGCGCTGGCCGGCGGGGGAAGCAGCAGGCAGCTTTGTGACAGATGGCGGCTGATGGACGGTGGACAGGACACAGGCTCCCTGGCGTTCTCTTCCCGCCCTCCCTAGATGCCGACTTCTTGCCCGGGGCCCCACAGGCCGGAAGCTCTCCCTGCTGCGGGCTGCGGCCTCCGCCTGGCCCCTGCCCACATCCCCGACCTCCCCCCACGGCCTGGCGCTGGGGCCTGTCCTTGGAGGTCGTTCCTTGACCCCAGCACACGTGGCTGAGCGGCTTGGTTGGGTTAAAGGGGGCCTCGCCAGACTCAGCGGGGGAGGCCTGTGGCTTAGGACCGAGAGCGGGCCAGGGAAGGCCGGAATGAAGAAGGACGTTCTAGGGAAGGAGGGCAGAAAACACCCCACCCCCACACATAATGAGATACATGATGCTCCACAAACACCGGGCCCAGGCCTGTGGGCCCGAGGGGCCGACAAAGGCGCTGGGGGGCTGGCGGACGATGGGGGAGGAGGGGGAGGGCGGGTCACAGGTCACCGTCCCGCGTGGCCGCCATGGCCGCGCTCACCGGAGGCAGGCCGCCGTTGTCATTGAGCCGCCGGGCCCGGTAGGTCTCGTAGTGGATGTTGTGGGTGACTTCCTTAAGGTCCTGGAGGTGGGTCCTGAACAAGCCAGAGAGGGAGAAGCAAAGCCATCGGCTTCCAGCAGTGGGCCGGCCAAAGGGGACTCACTCATGACCCCGAAGGCCGGCCGAAGATTTGCCCCGCTGTGGCCCAGGGCTGGGAGCAGGGCCCAAGGCAGAGAGGGCTCGCCCGGTGCCATCTAACAAGTGGACAACCGGCAGACCCCTGAGGACCCCAACTCCACCTCCACCCCAACCCTGACTTCTCTGGGCCTCAGTTTCCTCTTCTGTAAAATAAGGGGGAGTCAGACCAGAAGGCCTCTGGGGTCCCTTCCAGCCCTCGATCCAGGGTCCTGGCAGGGAAAGGAACCTAATGTAGGCCAGGCACTGTGCTAAGCGCTTTACAAACATGATGGCATCTGGTCTCCCAGAGCCCTGCGAAGTAGGAGAGGCAGTGGTGAAATGACTTGCCCAGGGTCACCCAGCCAGGAAGCGTCTGAGGCTGGACTTGATCTCAGGCGGTCCTGCCTGCGGGGCTGGCGCTCTGTCCACTGGGCCACCCAGCTGCCCCACTGTGATTTGGAATCCAGGATGTTTCTGCTGCACCATGGGTGAAGGGGAGGAGGAGGAGGGAGGCTTCCCCAAGGGCAGGCAGGCAGCATCCTGCTGGCATTGAGGGCCCAGGTGGAAGAGAAACACAAATCCATCCACGGACACTAAGAAGCTGTGGGACCCTGGACAAGTCACTTCACTGCTGCCTGCCCGCGTTTCCTCGACTGTAAAACGGGGAGGATAACTGTGTCCACCTCCCAGATGACACAGCACAGTGCCCGGTGCCTCCCAGGCACCTAGTAAATGCTTGTTCCCAATCCCCTTGTGAGCATCCGGTCAGGGTCACTGCTGTCACGGGCAGGGGGACGCACTCGGCCTCAGGGAGGCGGGCAGCCGGTGTTAGCCGGGCTCTTACCGACCTCTCTGGGCACCCTCCGCCACCAGGCGAGTCTCGGCCGTTCAACAGAAGGCTCTCCATGGATGGAGAGGGCCTGCTCTCTGGGACGCCTTCCTCCCAGAGGACTTGGGAGAGGAGGGGGCTAAGGCCAGGGAGGCCTGGAGGTGGGGTTCAAGGGCCCCTCCTGACTACACTGGGTCCATACTACAGGGAGGGCCTTACCTGATAACAAAGTCTCTGAGCAAGGCAAACTCACAGTGGGTGAGGTTTTCCACTGAAAATCCAAAAAAGAGATGTTACTGTATGCTAGTACTGAGCAGTCATAGGGTGGCTCTAGGGACTCTTTAAAAGCACATTACTGTACAACCACCCACTCATGAGCTAGATGGCAATCAAAGGCCTACAGAACACAAATTTAGTCATTCATTAATTCACTCATTCATTCATCAGCCCAGTGTTTGCTAAGCTGACAATGGAGATGGAAAAGAAAGAAGCAGACTTTAAGTTATAGATCCTGCCCTCAGGGAGCTGAGCATATGAATGAGGATATAGTCCCCACCCTCCTCCCTTAGGAGAGGAGATGTCCCAGGAAGTAGATATCCAAAGCCCTGGTGAGCTCTAGTCCCCAGAAGGGAGGGAATGGGCAAGGAAGGCTTCACGAGGCTGATGAGAACTTGTGAGTATCCTAGAATCTCTGAGCAAGAGGAGACTCTGAGATCATCTGGTCAGTCGGCAGGCCCTGTGCTAAGCCCTGGGGATACAAAGAAAGGCCAACAACAATCCTTACACTCAGAGGAATGGGGAGATAACATGCAAACAACTCAGTGCCTGGAACAGAACCCTCTTTTATATGAAATTCCTGACAAGTGAGTGGTCATCCAGCTTGAAGACTCCCACGAATGGGGTACTCACTACCTCCCACGGCAGCACGTTCCACCCTGGGTTAGCTTTAACTGGGAGGCGTGGAAATCACATCTGCTCCCCACATCCACCACCCACTGCTTCCTGCTCTGCCTTCTGGGGCCAAGCAGAACTCAGCTAAGCCCTCCTTCCATGACACCTGCTGTCACACGGGTTGTGGAACCGACGATTTCAGCCAAATACATTTTACACTAACCCGACCAAAGTGGTTAGTGCTGTTCACCCAGAGGTCCCAGCCCCTTTCACTCGTATCCTTCCCACTGGGAAGCATCACTGACTCCCTTCACTGATGCCATGAGTCACACAGACTGCAGAGAAAGGCGACACTCACCCAAGGGCGGCGCTGTTTCATGAAAAACAAACTTTTCCTGACGATGCAGGGGGTCCATTGTGTATCTGCATTTTTGTCAGGTTAAATATAATCTGTCCTGTAGCTTATGTCTCATTAGCCTGAGTGCTTGTAGGGAAATCTTTGGAGGGGAAACGAAATGAGTCAGATACTGATGTTTCTTTGAGTGGAAGTTTGAACCAGAGACAGATATTAACACGAGCCAGATACTAACATTCCAATTAGCTAATGCTGATGGCAATTAGCCTGAGAGCTCTTGAGAGAGACCCTCCAAAATTAGACCCAGGTCTATTATGGCGAGGCCTAGGACCCAACTGACACATGGGTTATTTCTTGGATAGGAGCTATATGATCTTGAGAAAGTTACTTTCCCTTTTGAGCCTCAGTTTCCTCATCTGCAACATGGGGGTAATCATATTTGCACTTCCTACCTCACAAGGCTATTGGGAAGATTGGATGAGTTAATGGATGGGAAAGTTCTTTGCCAACTACTTTGATCTTTAGGGGCAGCTAGGTGGCTCAATGGATAGAGCTCTGGCTTTGGGGTCAGGAGAACGTGAGTTCAAATCCAGTCTCAGACACATGCCAGTTACTAGCTGTGTGACCCTGGGCAAGTCACTTAACCCTGATTGCCTCACCAAAAAAAAAAAAAAAAAAAAAAAGAAGAAGAAAGAAAACCAACTACTTTGATTTTGATCAATCAGCAAGCATCTATTATAGGCCCGTGCTTTACAAAGGCCAGGTACCACAGTGACCTCATTGCTCGAGGTGCCATCTAACGACGGCAAATTAAGATTCCAGCCCATGGACCAGCACCATCCTTCGTCCCTTCATCCCTTTCTCCCTTCAGAGAGAAAGGATTCAGTTTTCCTCTCTGAAACTTCCATGTACAGCGGTCGCTTCTATCGAAGAACACAGGTTGGGAAAACCCCTGCTTCTTCTGTATCCTACCACACAAGCAGCGGCCCGGCTTGTCACAGCCAATGGCAGGAGGCATCTCCTCCCCCCGAGGACGTTCTCGGGACCCGTCAGAGTGAATGGCCGAGTGAAGAAACACGAGCAGGCCGTTACCCTGCGTATCCAAAATCGCTTTCAAAGTAGCAGGCGTCTGCAGAATTCTTGCAAGTGCTTCATTTGGATCCCTCTTCTATTCCAACAGTATTAATCGCTTGGTATTTTCACATAAATCACATAGGAATCACTAGACAGGATAGGTGTTTATAGCAGGCCTCAAACGTTAATGCCATGTTCACTCCCTGTTTGCCAGCTGTGAAGCCCACTTACACAACCCAAGAAAGCTGATAAAGATATCTCTCTCCCATTTTACTCAAATTCCACGCCCAAACCCAGCGTGGGCGGGATGCTCTGATGCTTTGAAACGTCCCCCAACTTATTGCTGGCCCTCCGGATGACCCTCTCTTGTCCAACCACCTTATGACCACGTGGTCACTGGAGATGACACGTGCCTTGCCCACCTTCATTTTAGGCCCTGAAGAGCAAGGTCTATCAACCAATGAGATTCTGGATCTTACCATGCCTCTTTTGCATATTTGGGTCGCAAACCCTACAGAAACAAGGTCCTGGGGACCAGGGCCAACTCAGATCATGAGGAAGATCTGGGGGCCATTTCATTAGAGAGGACCATGGGTCCTTTAATATAGTGCCATTGGCTCAGTGCTCTGCCTCAGTTTCTTTTATTGTAGGTTGGACAATTTAAACTCTACACTCTCCCACAAGGATCATTTGGGTAAAGAAAACCCCCCAAAAAAACCCTTGGGCTCTTTTCTTGGGATCTCTAAGCACTTGACACATACCCTCCCTGACAAGCGGGGATGCTGGGGACGATCCCCTTTTAGAGATGTAGGAACCTGGACACCAAAAAGCTAAATGATTTAACCACTATTTATGACTCCATCAGCCAATAACAAAGTCAAGATTGGAACTCATGTCCCCTGACCTACTTTGCAACCAGACCATCGGGCACCCTCCCTGCCTCTTAAGGTTCCAGATCTCCTCTGGCTGTTTGGCTAAAAACCAGCTGTGCAGATACAGGATAGGGGGAAATGTGGCTAGAGAACAGTTTGGTTGAAAAAGACTTGTGGGCCCCAGTGGACCATAAGCTCAAGATGAGTGTGATATGGTGACCCTTTGTGTCTAGGTCAAAGGGATGACAGACAGATGGCCTTGCTATCTTCCACCCTGGTTGGGTCGTGCCCGGGTTAGTGCTAGATTTTGGGAGGGACAACCATGGCCCAGGGGAGAGAGCACAGACGCTAAAGTCAAAAGACCTGGGTTCTACTCCTTATTCTGATGTTTGCCTATACAGCCTTGCACAAGTCACTTAACCTCGGGAGGCCTCAGTTTGCTCATCTGTAAAATAAGGGGTGGGCTGCTGGGTCTCTAATGTCCCTTCCCACTTGAGATCTGTCCCTGCCTCAGCCCTGGCTGCTCCTTCCAGGTGACTTTTTCTCCAGCGTTTGTCCACGGCCACTAAACTGGCAGCTCCCTGAGGGCAGGGACTCTCTCACCTTTCTGCTTCATGAACACCTGCTGACTGACTGACTGACTGACAAATGTCTCCCAGCCAGACCTGATTAAGTCGCAATGGCATCTACCTCGTTCATTCATTCGTTCGCGCACGTCTCTGGCACCCACTGTATACAGAGCCTTTTGCAGGTCAGGCCAGACGGTCCAGAGCGGGAGCCGCTTCTCCTGCTCAGCTCCCAGCCCAGCACCAGGCACGCAGCAGGTGCCCAATAAGAACCAGTGACAAGTTGGCCCCTTACCTTCAATGATTCCCCAGGGGGTTTTTCTGCCAAGGACCCTCTTGCCATTGACCTGGTACTCCTTGTCACTCCCAACCACGGCGAAGGGCATGCTCTCCTGCTGGAGGGGAGACACACAGACACAGCCAGGGCTCGAAGTCATTCTCCTCCAGCCCCAGCCAGCGGATGGGGTCCTGGGTCTGGGGGACGGGGGCCTGGATCCAAATCCCACGGCTGGGTCAGTAAGTCTCTGGGCAAGTCCTGTGCCCTTGTGCGGGCGGGTCTGTCCCTCAGCCTGGGCTCGGTTTCCCCAACTCGCTTCCCTCTTTAGAGCCCAGGTCTCCCCACTCCTACCTTAGCAGGGTCAGAGGAGTGTAAAGGGTCCTGTGGGTTTACTTAATCCAGCTCCCCCATTTTGCAAAAGAGGAAACTGAGGCATAGAGAGGTGACGTGATTTGCTCAAGGTCAAGTCACTTACAGGTACTACGCGGCTGAGCTCGGACTGGGACCCAGGACGTGTGTCTCCAAGCCCACTCCCTATCCAGTGGTGTTCCCCATGAATTCAGTTCGGTCCAACAAACATTTCAAAGCACCTACTATGTGCCACACGCCACGCTGGGAACGGAGCCAGCAGCCCCAGGTGGTCCCCAGCCTCAGGAGGGCCATGCTCGCTTGCCTGCGGCCCTCTGCCTCCTACCCTGATCTTGTCGTTCTCCGTCTTATCTTCCAGGTCCTCGTCAAACTCCTTCTGCGGGTAAAACTCGATGCCGTTCACCTCGAGCTCCTTCCTGACCTGGGGGTGGGAGAGTCAGAGGAGTTGAGACTGAGGGTCACAAGGGACCTCCGGGCTTGTCTTTCCTCATTTTACAGAGGAGGATCTGAAAGGGGACGGCGCTCGTGCATTCAGGCCGCAAGGGGCCTCTGAGGTCATCTTGTCTAACTCCCTCATTTTACAGTTGGGGAAACCGAGGCCCAGGCAGGGAGGTGATTTACCCAAGGTCACCCAAGTAGTTAGGGGCAGAAGCAGGATTCATATATGGGTCCCCAATTCTACTCAATTCGACTTGAATATTTATCGTCTGAACATGGAGCTTAGAGCTGTGAATACAGGAACAAAAAGTGACGCGGTCTGCCCTCAGAGAACTCCCAGTTTACTGGGAAAGTATGATGTGTACAGAGACCAATATGGCACCAGGAAGAGTGTGCCAGGAATGAATGAGGAGGCTCCTTCTGGCTCTGAAGCCGGACTCCAGGAACGCTGGAGGACAGGCCATCACTCCCATACACTGGTGGGGAGGGGAGCAAATCAGGGAAGGCTCCTTGGGGGAAGTGGCGGATTTCCACAGGTGGAAACGGGGTGGGAGGGCACACCTGGTGTGGGAGACAGCCTAAGCAAAAGCAAGGAGATGAGAAGTGAGGGGAGGATGGGGTGACGGAAGGGGAGGAGCGTCCAGGGAATGTGGAACCCTGAAAGGAGGAGCTCACCCTCTGCTTGAATTCCATCTTCTCCTCCAAGGTCATGGTGTCAGCTTTGGCGATGATGGGGACGATGTTCACCACTTTGCTGAGATGCTTCATGAACTCCAGGTCCAGGGGTCTCAGACTGGAGAAGGAGCGAGTGAGAGGCCCATGGTCTGCACCCACCACCACCCAGCCCAGCCCCCAGCAGAGGAGACCTGCCCTGGCTGTGGCCCCCAGGCCCTGGGAGGAGACTGAGGCCCGGGAGTGCACAGCTCCAGGTGTCTGAGGCGGTAGAATAATGATAATGATAATAGCTAACATTTATACAGCACCTACTATGTGCCTACGCTGTGCTGAGCATTCTCCAATGATCTCCTTTGGTCCTCACAGAAGCCCTATAAGGCCAGTGATGCTACTATCCCCATTTTACAGATGAAGAAATTGAGGCAGGCAGAGGTGAAGTGCCTTGCCCAGGGTCCCACAGCCACTAAGGGTCTGAGGCTGGATTTGAACTCAGGTCTTCCAGGCCCAGCTCCCTATCTCCTCTACCCTCTAGTAGGCTGGCTGGCTGGCTCTCAGCCCCCTGTGCCCTCGGGGGTACCCCTCGGCCACATCCAGGGTCTGTGGGGAAACAGCTCAGGCCCTAGTCCAGGGCCTCCTCACTGGTCTCCCTGCCTCCGGGCCATCCTTGGTCTAATGACTGCTGTGGGCTCTTCCAGAGGGGCCCGGTGCTGCTAAACTGCCTCTGGGCCTGAGGGGTTTGTTGAATGAATGAACAGATGAGACAAGGCAAGGCAGGTGGGTGCCTCCTAAGCAGCAACCATGCTTCAGGGCAGGAGAGGACCTGGGTTCAAATCTTGATGTTGCCACTTATTGCCTGTGTAACCTTGGGCAAATCACTCTAACCCCTCCTCCCCGGGCCTCAGTTTCCTCTTTTGTAAAATAAAGGTGTTGGACTCCGTGGCCTCTGAGATTCCTGCCAGCTCTGAATCTCTGTTCTTAGCCCCCGTGAGCCCCATGGGCACCACCTTGGGCGGCCCAGTGGCTGGCACTGGTCAGCTCGGCCCTTCCTTTGGGGCTCTTGGTAGAAAAGCCAGGAGGTAAGTGGGGGTCCTAGAGCCTGCACCCCATCCCCCCTGCCTGGACAGACAATCCCCCTTGGCTAGCTCTGTAGAGCTAGAGCTCATCAACCAGCATTCATTATGCACCTACTGTGTGCTGGGAACTGGGCTAAGTGCTGGACGGACAAAGAATGGCGAAAGACAGTCCCTCCGCCCAATGAGCGCCCAGTCTGATGGGGGACAGCCTGCCAGTCACTAGATACGTGCAAGAGACAGACAGAACCGGGGGAGAGGGGGAGGGGACAGGCCTCCCCCAGAAGCAGGATTGGGATCTGAGACTTGAAGGAACATCAGGTGTGGGGCACCGCGAGAGCAAAGGTTTGGAGTCGGGACATGGGAGCAGGCGAGGGGCAGCAGGCACTCACGAGTGTCCCGTGGGAGAGATGAAGTAGAGGCAGCAGTGGACCCGCGTGTCCGGGATGCGCTTCTTTCTCGCGATGTTCACTTCCTCCTTCAGGAACTTCTCATACTGTTCATTGATGTACTTCTCGATGGGCTCCCAGCTGAGGAGGCCAGACATGGGCAGACTGAGGTGAGCCAGCCGCCCTCCACAGCCCGGGAGGGATCACAGACACCGGGTCAGAAGGGACCTCCAGTATCCCCCCAGGGACAGGGATCTCACTACCTCCCCGCCCAGCCCTTCCTTTTCAGCCCACTCTCATCACCAGGGTCTATTTGGCCCCCTCAAGCCTGCACTCACCTCAGCTTCCAGTGGCCAAGCAGAGACCAACCAAACCCTTGAAGATGGTGACCCCCACGCCCCACCCTGGTCCACTGCTCCCCAGGCTCAACCAGCCGTCGTGCAGCACGCTGCCCAGTCCAGAAGCATTTATGGAGCCCCAACTGTGTACTGGGTCATCCAGGCATCCGCTGCCCAGCCCCACCCCTCCACAGCATGGATTCTGGACTTCCCCAGTGGATCCAGGCCCCTGAACACGAGTGAGGCCATCCCTGGCTTCACCGTCTGGATCTCCGGCGCCCCAACACCCAGCTCTGCTCCTCACCAGCTGTGCGACCCAGGACAAGGACAGCCGCTCTGGGTCTCAGTTTCCCCATGTACCAAATGCGGGCTGGGCTAGAGGGTCCCTTGGGTCCCTTGCTGCTCTAGCCCTAGGCCTCAGCCCGGCCCAGGCTGGGATGGAGGCACAGCTCCCCTGGAGCCGGGGGCTCCCAAGCAGGACGAGGGGAGGGACACACGCACCAGTTTTCATTGTTGATCTGGTCTCCGAAGCCAGGGGTGTCGATGACCGTCAGCTTCATCTTGACTCCGCCTTCTTCTATCACTGGGGTGACAGACGGGTCGAGGGTGACGCCTGCTCCATGCCGCCCCCCCTGAAGGGGAGCCCTCTGCATCCCGTCTGAAGGACCGTGAACCTGCCACTGGGAGCCCGGGCACCCCACCGCTGCTCCGCCATCTTCTCTGACCTCGCCCTCTTTCCCAAAGTTCCCCCCTCTAACCTTTGCTCATGCAGTTCCCCCTGCCTGGGGCGCCCGACCATTCCCCTCTGCCTCTCCAAATGCTACCCACCCCCCTCGAGGCTACATGATGAACAGGCAAGAGCAGGTACCCAACTCCACACCCAACACTCTCTCTCTCTGTCTCTCCTAACAGACGGGTCATGTTCCTGGCCAGAGTCATAGACTGGGGGAGGGGGTGGGAGGTGATAAGCATTTACACGGTGCCAACTGGCACTGGGAAATAGAGTCCCCTCTAAACATGCCCAACAAGCGGTTACTGAGCCTCCACTTGAACACCTCCAGTGACAGGGAGCTCACTACCTCCCGAGGCAGCCCAGTCCATTTCTGGATAGCCCCAAGAGTTAGGAAGCCTTTGTGAAGTCCAGTCTAAATCTGTCTTGCTGCAACTCCCCACCCCCAAGCTGCTGGCTCTGCTCCCTGGGCCAAGCACAACTCATCCACGTGTTTACACACAAAGTGAATACAAAGTTAATTCTTGGGGTGGGGGTTCTACTAGCCAGAACAACCAGGCAAGGCTTTGAGGAGGCAGCGATCCCGGCTGGGCTTGGAAGGATGCCCCTGCACGGGTCTGGGCACAGAGGAATGACTGCCTGCCACAGCACACCTGGGGTGTCGGAATAATATAAAGATGAATAATAACAAGAGTACCAATAATCAGAGCTGACGTTTGGAGAGTGCTTTAAGGTCAGCAAAGTCCTGCCTTCCAACAGCCCTGAGGGATAGTCGGTATTATCCCCATTTTACAGGGAGGGAAAACTGAGGCTTAGGCAGCAGAAAGAGCCCTGTGTCAATCATCAGAGGAGCAGGGGGCCTGGGAGACCTCAGCCAGCCTCAGGTCCCAGGCCCGGAGCCGGGTCGCTGGAATCAGGACTGGACAGTGCGTAAACGATCCAATCAGGCCCTAGTTCAGCCGTGGTCAGCTCTCTGACCCACGCTACGGTCACCTGAGGCTGAGGGCCACCAACCCCAAGGGGAGTGAGGTGAGATAAATCCTGTCCTTTGGGCCTCCTGCGACCACAGGGAAATACCTCAATATCCTTCCCACTAAAACCAAACCTCCCTGGGGGACATCGGCCCAGCTCCAGCTGAGGCAGGGGCGAGTCTCCAGATTAATTGTGAGGAAGTTAATTGTGTCGGTGACCGGCTGCCCCTGGGGACCAGTGGGGCCGGCGAGGGGCCTCTCTGGGAATGCCATCCCAAATCTGGGTCGCGCCTGCCCTGGAGAGCCAGGGAGGCCGGGAGCTGTCCACAGCCAAAGCCGGCTCTGAGCTCTTTCTCATCTCCAAAGTGGACTATTCATCATCATGGCTCCAACAGTAACCTTCCCACGACCCCCTGGCAGGGCTGTGGTGAGGCTGCACCCCAGACACCTTACCCACCCCCCCAGAAATGACAATATTACAGAGAAACCACCTTTGATTGGCCGTTGGTGCTGGCTCCCCGCCCCCAGCCCCAGGCCCAGGCAGCCTTCGGTGGGCTCCAGGACCCCTTGGGAGGGCAGCCCTTCTGACGGCCCAGAGGCCTTAGAGTTAGGAAGAGCCGGGTTCACACCCAGCCTCCGGCGCTCCCTGGCCGTGACAGGTCACCCTTGGCCTTTCTGAGTCTGTTCACCCGGAACAGAGATCCACTCACTCACTCACACTCACCGTGCCCGATGGCCTTGATCTCCACGGTCTTGGGGATCTTCTCCTCCCGATTCCAACTCGCCGACTTCCGACTCACTTGGGATTTGAAGAGGGTGTTGATGAGGGTCGACTTGCCCAGCCCACTCTGACCTGGATGGGCAGCGAGGGGAGAGGGTGAAGCCCAGGGGCAGGATTTGAATCCAGGGTCCTCTGACCCCAGAGTCAGTTTGCTCTTAGGACTTTATTTCCAAATAAACAGCCCCCTTCTGGGCCCACCCTTGCTCTTGGGAGGTAGGTATGAGGACACTGACAATTTTCCCAAATGACAGAGGTTAAAAGGCCACCCAGGCGCCCCCAAGGCGCAGGGATGCCTGGGTCCCACGCCCTCAGCAGCCCTGGGTCCAGGTCCCCTGCAGAAGCCCCAGGTGGCCTGCTCCGAGAGGCCACTGCCTGGCAGGCCCGTGACCCCACGCCAGCCCTGCCAGCCTCCGCTCTTACCCACAACCATGATGTTGAAGTCAAAGCCGGTCTTCATGGTTTTCTTCCGCATCTGCTCGATGATGGTGTCAATGCCAATGTAGCCCAGGAGGTTGGAGCTGATGCCAAGGGGCTTCATGGGCACCGCCGGCTTGGGCCTGGGCTCAGCCACCAGCTCCGACATGGTCACGTCAGTCCTGTTCTCTGCAAAGCCTGCAGATGAGGAGGGGAGGAGGCCATGGAGCCATGAGGCTGACTGGCCCCAAGCCCACCATGGGAAGAAACTCCGGCCCACCCAAAGCCACCAAGTCCCTCAAGGACTGTGACCCTCACCTCCAAGAAGTCTGTGCTGATTAGTCTGTCCTACTCTGAACCCACCTTCCCTCAGTGGGCAACCCTACCACTTCTGGGTGGGGTTTGTACGATATTATTCTTTTAATGGTATAGACTTTCTGTGCTTGGAGGGCCCTTAGAACAGGGAAAATCAGGGCTAGGAGGGGCCTCAGAACAGGGAAGGTCAGGGCTGGGAGGGGCCTCAGGACAGGGAAGGTCAGGGCTGGGGGGGGCCTGAGAACAGGGAAGGTCAGGGCTGGGAGGGGCCTGAGAACAGGGAAGGTCAGGGCTGGGAGGGGCCTCAGGACAAGGGAAGTCAGAGCTGGGGGAGCCTCAGAACAGGGGATGTCAGGGCTGGGAGGGAGCTTAGAACAGGGAATGCCAGAGCTGGGAGGGGCCTTAGAATGCAGAATGTTAGAAAATACTATTGAAGAGGCCAAGAAGAATGGCTCTCTCTTTTAGCCAGAGTACTCCTACATTCCCAACCCCAGTGAGAGAGGGAAGGAGAACGTGGGGTAGAAGTCCCCACCTTCTGGAGCCTCAGTTTTTTCCTGATGAGGGGGTTGAGCCAAGTGCCCTCTGAGGCCCCCTGGCTCTGTGACTGAGCCTGGCCTTCTTTAGGCATGGAGGCAAGGCTTGGCTGGGCCTCCTAGGGCTTCCTCATTTCAGGAAGAGGTCTCTTCCCCCCTCCCCAGCTCCAGACCGCCTCCTCTCCCATTGGTCAAGGGCAACCTCAACTCGGTCCCCTACCTCCTTCTTCCATACCCTATGATGGAGAGACAACAGGAGAGCATGGGACTGACAACTGGTCTTTGGGGCCACATGAAGCACCCCCAGCCAGCTTCATTCACAGCTTAGCAGCAACTGTAGATCCCCATCTTGAGCAGATCTCCCCCCACCCTCCTCTCCTGGGTCACACAATTAGCAATAAACATAGCTGGGATATGAACCCAGGTCTTTGCACTCAAAATCTAGGGTTCCTTCTCAGCCACTAAACAGATGGGTGTCTCGGTGCCGCCATCTTGACTCCTGACCCACTCAGGCTTCAGGCCTTTGTAAACAGTCTTCTGTCCTGAGGCCTTCTCAGAAAAGGTTTCTTCCAAGGTCATGACTGACCTCCTCCTCATTTGATCTACTGTCTGACTTTCTGTCCTCAAACTACCCTCTGACCTTGGGGACCGCCCCCTCCTGGATCCTGTCCCCTCCCTTGGCTTCCTTACCTCTTCCTCTCCGGGCTCTCTGGCCCCTCTTCCACACATCCCTTAAAGGTGGGTGCCCTACATGTCTCTGTACCTCCTCTCCGCCCCCATGGTGATCTCATCCACTCCTACAGTTTCAGTTATCACCTCTCAGGCAGATGACTCTCAGGCCTGGCTCAGCCCCCACCTCTGTCCAGAGCTCCTGGACAGGCGGCTGACTGCCCACTGCATGACCCACCTGCCCCTCAGACCCTGTGCATCCAAGATGAAGCTCACCCTTTCTCCCTCCCCTACAATGTGTCTCTCCTCCAGACTTCCCCATATCTGTGAATGGCACCCCCATCTTCCTAGCTCCCCAGGCTCCTGACCTCAGAGGTGGAGGACCTGAGTTCGAAGACTGCCTCTGCCACCATCCTGCCAGCTGCCAAACCTGGTCTGTTGCCCCCAGACTCCTTTTTGCCCCATTTCCTCCTTCTAATTCCTGCTCTAATTCTTTTTCTTCAGCTCAGTCAATAAACAGGTATCCCATAAGTGCCTATGCTGTGCTGGGAGCTGGGATGTTATAAAGGCAAAGAGTGGAATAGCCCCTACCTGTAAGAAATGTACATTCTACGTTCCTCATCTCATCTAGACCAGCCAGGTTTAAGCACCCCTGCCTGGCCTCCCCACCTCCCAGCCTCCAGCCTCTCTCCTCTGTCTAACCCACCACTCTCAGGGGTTCCCCACTGTCTACCCCCAAAAGCAGACTCTTGATTCTGACATTCAAGGCCCTTTCCCACTCTGCCTCCAGCCTGTCTTTCCGGATTGATGCCCTATTCCTCCCCATCATACAGTCTACCTCCTGGCCTGACCAGACAGCTTCCATCCCCTGCTCTGTCATCCCCTTTCCACCCCACTCCCATTGGCTCAGACCTTTCTCCATGGCTGGGACAGGCTCCTCCACCCACCCCCACTTTCAGGGCCAGAAGACCCTGGCTTTCTTGGAGACCCAGCTCAGGGGCTGCCCCTCCCCCAAGAGAAAAGTGGCCTCTCTCCCTCAGATCCCCCACAGGCCTCTTTATCCCTGTCACTCTCCCCTGTGTCCAGGCCATCTGATGGAAGGGGTTCTGTCAGAGCTACTTCTGTGTCTCCAGGCCTGGCATACAAGAGGGAGTTAACAACTATTTGTGGAGGGAATCTGACAGAACAAATGAAATATGGGGCCGATAAGATCCAGGGTCTGAGGGGGCCAGGGCTCTGGTGGCCTGGAAGGCTGGAGATCCAGCTTCTACCACTCACTGGGCTGATCTAAGGCAGGCCCTGTCTGTCCTCCAGAGGCCTTGCTTTCTAAATGAGATAGCATCTGATGCCCCTCCCAGCTCTGACCTTCTGTGTTCTAACGCTCCTCTCAGCTCTGACATCCCCTGTTCTAAAGGCCCTCTCAGCTCTGCCCCTCCCAGC